TTCTTGCCAGTCCCTTTTAGCCTGCAAAGTTGCTTTTGAGAAATCAGCTGACAGTCTTATGGGAACTCCCCTGTAGGTAACTAATTTCTTTCCTCGTGCTGCTTTTAAGATTCTCCCTTTATCTTTAATTTTTGTAATTTTAATTATGATGTGTCATGGAGTGGGCCTCTTTGCATCCATCTTGTTTGGGATTCTCTGTGCTTCCTGGACTTGCATGGCTATTTTCTTCACCAAATTAGGGAAGTTTCTTTCATTATTTTTTAAAATAGGTTTCCAATTTCTTGTTCTTTCTCTTCTCCATGTGGCACTCCTATGATGCAAATGTTAAAACACTTGAAGTTGTCCCAGAGGCTGCTTACACTATCCTTGGGTTTTTTGGATTCTTTTTTCTTGTTGTTCTTTTTTTTAAAATATTTTATTTATTTATTTTTGGAGAGAAGGGAAGGAGAGAGGGAGAGAAACATCAATGTGTGGTTGTGTCTAATGTGCCCCCCACTGGGGACCTGGCCCACAACCCAGGCATGTGCCGTGACTGGGAATCAAACCAGCAACCCTTTGGTTTGCAGGCCTGTGCTCAATCCAGTGAGCCATACCAGTCAGGGCTTCTTGTTCTGACTGGTTGTTTTTTGTTTCTTTATGTTCCAAATCATTGATTTGATTCTTGGCTTCAGCCACTCTACTGTCGTTTCCCTGTAGCAGAAATTATTCTTTATTTCAATTAGTGTATCCTTCGTTTCTGACTGGATCTTTTTTATCCTGTTGAGGTCCTCACTAAGGTCCTTAAGCATCCTTATAACCAGTGTTTTGAACTCTACATGATAGATTGCTTATCTCCATTTTGTTTAGTTCTTTTTCTGGAGTTTTGATCTGTTCTTTCACTTGGACCATGTTTCTTTGTCTCCTTGTTTTGGCAGCCTTCCTGTGTCTGTTTCTATATATTAGAGCTGCTATGAATCCCTGTCTTGGTAGTGTGGCCTAATGTAGTAAGTGTCCTGTTGGGTCCAGTGGCACAGCCTCCCCTATCACCCAAGTTGGGTACTCAAGGTGTGCCCTGTTCTTGTAGTTGAGCCTTAGTTACTGTTGGCAGGTCAGTGGGAAGGATTTACCTTCCCATTGCAGCAGACCAGTCAGTTGCAAGGACTGGCTGTGACCACTGACCACCAACCTCTGCCCTCCTTGGAGGATCAGCTGTGCAGGGGCAGTGTGGTGGTACTCCCATGTGGTCTGTTGCTGTCCATTGGTTGTGCAGGCCCTGGGGTTTCCCCCACAGCAGGCCAAGGTCAGCCCACACCAGTGTTTTCCCACATGAGCTATAAAACAATCTGAGATGACTGCTACTTATGCTGGGCTTGGAGATTCCCAGGGAAGCCAAACTGTGAATCTAGGCTGGTTGCTGCTAGTGTGGTGCCTGGGGCCACTTACTCACTGAGGCCAGCTGTTGCTTGTTTGAAAGAAATTAGGAAGTTACTAAGCAGGAGCCAAGGCCAATCATTCATATGTAAAAGTCATTGTTAGAAGCTGTATATTAGATGGGACAGAGCCTCAGGGGATCTCCAGGGCAAACAGTGTTAGCCCAGTTGATGGAGTCTCAGATATGTCACCTGTCTGCTCTGTGGCTCTCTTGAGGGAGGGTTCAGAAAAGGGACAGTGGCCTTTGCTCAACTTTCTGTGTGGGAGAAAGCTGTTACCCCTGTGCTGGAGCTCAGAGGGAGTGAGTCTGAGTAAATCTGTGTGTGGCTTCTTTGAGAGGAATTACTTGGGACACCAGAAGTTTCTTCCACTGACTCAATCCCTGCTGGTTTTTATAGCCGGAAGTTGTGGGTACTTATCTTCTTGGCACTGGAACCCTAGGCTGGGGGGCCTGGTGTGGGGCTAGCACTCCTTGCTCCTGAGATATCTCACCTGAATTTTTATTCACCACATCTGGATGTGGGACCAGCCTGTTCCATGTCTCCACCTCTCCTACCAGTCTGGACGGATGTGGTTTCTTTAATTCAGTAGTTGTGAGACTTCCACTCAACTCCATTTCCGATGGTTTTGAGTTATGTTGTTCTGTAATTTAGTTGTAGTTTTGATGTGGTTGTACAAGGAGGCAGGCCATGTTTAGCTATATAGGAAAGCAATTTTTTAATGCACAAACTTAAATTCTGTTTAAAATGTTAATTTATTTAACTCACCAGTTATAATTGGCAAACTGTACTCCTGACAGGGAGACATTCATGTTGTTTCCACTTTTTTGCTATCTTTTCTCATCCTCATGAAAATTAATTCCATTTCCTATTTCAGATGCAGGAATTTTCTATTCCCACATCTACCCAGTTGCCCAAGCCAGCAACTTGGGAATTATCCTTTACCATAATACTTTACCAACAATCAGTCATAAAGCCTACTTTAGCTCCTAAGTATCTTCTCTGTCCCATAGACTTTATCCCGCTACACTCTTTTGATTATTGATATCAGTATAATTTATTTAATACTGGCTATATGTTTTTTCTGTACATGGTGTAATTTAATCCACAATAACTGTGAGGAAGATAGTTTTATCCTGATTGTATATATGAGAAAATGGAGACTCAGAAAGATTGTCTTATGTAAGGTTGCATTACTAGTAAGTGGTAGAGAGGTCAAGGCAGGATTAGAACGCAAGGCTCTCTGACCTCAAAACTGGTACCCATAGTCACTATTCTGTTCTGGACCACATTTATCATTCTCAACAACAACCTTTTATTTGGTCTCCCTGTGTACAGTCTTGTTTCCTCAAATTCATGTCACTGCATTTTAAATCCTTAAGTGGCTCCCCCTTGCCTAGAACTTGATAAAGTCCAAGTTTCTTAGCATGGAATGCTATGTCCCCATTCCGTTTTACATCTCTCCTCTGTACCTCTGTGCTCCAGCAATGTTGAAGTACAGGCTGTAACTCAGATATATCATGTTCTCTCTTAGACTTTGTGCCTTTCTAATTACTTCCTCCTCTTTTTTGCATGGCTAATTCTTGTTTGTCCTTCAAGCCTCAGTGTGGGTCTCCCAAACATTCTTTTGAGAAACACTTCCTAACTGCCTCTTATCCCCAGTCCATTTTGATGCACCTCCTCTTGGCTCTAAGAGCACTCTCTGCTCTTTCATAGCACTTTTCAAGCACTTCTGTCATAGTAATCATCATGCCCAGAGCAAACTGATTGTTCAGTGTTCACTGCTTCCATTAGACAGACAGCTCCTTGAAGACAAGTGCTGTTTTTAAATCCCTTTTCGTAACTGTGGTGCCTAGCATGTGGAGGCATTCCTCAAATATTTTTTGGCTAAATAAAATGCTATGAAATGAAGTATTTAAATTGAACATAAAAGTACCTATTTTTGTGCACACTGATTTTTATTATCTTGTACACACTGTTTTTAATTTTGATTTGGAGGTCGAAATACTGAAGCAACAATAATGTATTCTATAAGGTAGCTTATACGTTGGGGTACCATGTCATTGATGCAAATTTGGTTTGCCTTCTCTATGTTGAATTGTGGGGAATGGCTTATGAAATCTATGAAACTTGGCAGCTTCAGGTTATTTGGGGAGGTTTCTCTTAAAAAATAATGGAAAATATGGAGTTGCCTCACTGTGGTAGGGAGATGTTTAAAGTGGTAACAAGCAGTCTTTGTTAGGGATTCTGGATTACATGGTATAAACTATAGTTCTCAGAGGTTCTACAACACCTACCAGTTGGCGCATTTAGTCTTCCCTTGCCTTTGGACCTAAAGTTTTTTGGTCTTGATGAGAGATGAAGGAGAAACACTCTAGTTACCCTGTTTCTGACAGGGCTTAAACTAATGTGTGCTTAGTTTTATACTATAGAACAATTTTATATTGTGACATTTTTAACATATACTTCTTAATCATCTGTTAATTGTGGGAGCAGGGGAGATAAAAAGGAGACTCGTCTTCACTCTTGTGCTTGTTGTCCTTGGTAGTGATGATCTTTATGAATAGTTAAAGTGGGATCCAGTGAAATAGAAGATGGGGGTGTTCAAGCTCATCGCTTGGGTGGGGCATGTTGGATGGCTACCTGTGCTTTGCCCTCGTTGGTAGAGGGTGAAGAGGGGGCACCTTACTCTTCTCGTCTACATAGCACTAACATTCAATTTTAAACTTTTTAGAGGAGGGGAATGGGGAAGATTGGGAGGAGCTCCTGAGATCCTGGTAATGTTATATGTTGGCTTTGATAATTTATGGCTCTATACACTTATGTTTTATGTACTTTTCTGTATGTGTCTTATGCCAATAAAAATTCTTTAAACAATTTAATTTAGAAACTTCCGTCTTCAAAAATTTCCCTAGGAGCCTATGAAAGATGTTAAGGATGAGGCTTTTTTCAAGTACCATTATTTTGCATGGTCCATCGCCGTGATGGGCAGACTCTAAGTGGGGTTGAAGAACAGTGAAGGGAGAGATTAGTGTGGACAAGGTGAGCCAGGGGAAACCAAATGGTCATTCAGTAAACATTTATTGTTATTGAGACAAATCATGTCCCAGGTTCGGCGCTGACACAGAAGAGCTAGACAGGACGGGAGGTCAGAGTCAGAGGGGAAACAAGATCTGGCTGATGTCAATAATCCTGGTTATAGATCTCTACCAGACTTTATAGTGTAATAAAAATAACAAGAGCTTATTTAGCATTTCTCATTTACTAAGAGTTTTACATATATTCATTTAACTTTCACAGTAACTCTGAGATAGGCACTACTACTAATATCTTATTTTATTGATGAGGAAACTGAGGTACAGAGATGCCTAAAGACACTCAGCTAGGAAGTAGTGGAGCTAGGATTCCAGCCCAACTGCCCAGCCCCATTTTTCTACTCAAAACTACTGTGCTCTGGGAAATGAATGCAAAGAATATGGGAGATGTAGGTTGGCCCGGTGGCACTGTTTGAAGATGGTCAGCAACCCTGATTCCGTACTTTCTTGTTTATGTTTTGGAGATCTGTGTGAATGCCTTTTCTTCTTTTTACAGACATGGCTGGACTCTGCCAAAGAAATAAAAAAGCAGGTTCGTGGTAAGTGAACATTGCCTTTTTTTGATAGTTCTTTCTTTTAGTAGGTCAGAGGATTTCTAACCGCTTTCTGACTGTTAGTCACTTTAGAACCCTGACTATAGTGGGTGGCTTTGAAATGGAGTTAAAGCCTTCCCTTGGAAGGAGGAGGTTCCGTAATAGAAAGATACAGCAGTAGTGGGCACTGTTGAGATGTAGGTCAGATCTTGATGATTTTTTTTTTACAACTGGGCAAAGTTGGGGAAGATAGGGCCAGTGGAGAGAAACAGGGGGTGGAAAAGAACAAAGATGAAAAGAGAAAAAGGATAGGGAGCCAGTTCTCAAAAGGGTAGTGGTTGAAACTGTAGTAGCCTTCAGCTAGAAGCGTGCTGCCTGATTTGTACTCGTCAAATTGTTCTGGACTAACCGTCTTCATGTTTTCCTCTCTGTGGTTCTTTTTGTCTGTTTTCAACATTCCTCTTCCAAACTGAAGTATAAGAAAGAATAGAAGAATGAGAATTCCTTACCTATGATCCTTCTGACATTGTGGCTTTCTCCTAGCTTCAAACCCTCTAGAATATATTGCTGCTGCACACCCTTCTCCGACTAGTATCTAGAAATAGGTATTTCTAGGTCAAAAAAGTATAGATTACAATTTTCTGGCTACAGGCTTAATGGGCTGGCTGAAGGGTAGAGATCTCTCCCCCAACCCCCCACTATATGTGACCAGATATCCTTTTAGTTGAGTGTATTTTGAGGAAACTTCTAGGAACTGCAAAGATGTTATTCATCGTGATTAGTAAGTTTTAACTCTTAATCACCTGAAAACAAATTTTAATTTTTATTTGTTTCTAAAATAAAGTAATTTTATTATGTGAGTGTTTTCCTTTAGACCCTATTTATAATATATATTTCTTAAGACAGAGAAACAAAATACTCTTTTGGACCATCAACTTTCCATATTTGCTCTCAGCCTAAAAATCTTGTTTTAAAATGTAACACAGCAAAAAATACTCAGCATATTTGAGACATGACAAGAAAAACATAACTCCTAGCGCCTTTCAATGAAAATACTTTTAACATTCAATTTTACTTAGGAATAAATGATTTTACAAGAAGACTCTTCAGGAAGAACAGTTAAAATAGAGTTTATAGGCCCTGGCTGGGTAGCTTAGCTGGTTAGAGAGTAAGTTGCATCATAGCAACACCATTTGCATTAGTCAAAAGGGGAAACAACCCAATGTCTATCAGTGGATAATGGATAAGCAAAATGGGGTAGGTCCATACAGTGGCATATTAGTCAGCCTTGAAAAAGGAATGAAGTACGGGGAACTGCTCCAGCATGGATGAACCTCAAAAACATTGTAGAAGTAAAAGAAGCCTGACACAAAAGGCCGCATATTATATGATGCCATTTGTATGAATTATTCAGAATAAGTAGATCTATAGAGACAGAAAGCACGTCAGAGCTTGCCAAGGCTGGGGGAGCCGAGGGAGTAAGTGCTTAATGGATACGGAGTCTTTTGTGTGAGCGATGAACATGTTTTGAAAGTAGATAGAGGTGATGGTTGTACAACATTGTGAATGTACTCGGTGCTGCTTAATTATATGAGTAAATGTACGGACTTTTATACTTTAAAGTGGCTTTGTGGGAGTTTCACCATACTAAAAAAAAGAGTTGCTGTCCATTATACCTGTTACCCCAAAATACTTCAGTTTGCATTTTCTAAAAACTAGGAATTGGTTTGTCATACTACCATTACTAAAAGCAGGAAGTTAACATTGAGGCAACACTCTAGCCTATAGACCTTATTTGTGAGTTGTTCCAATAGTGCTTTTACAGAAGAGAAAGTCCAAGGTGCTCCTTTGCATTTAGTTATCACATCTCTTTAGTTGTCTTTAATCTGGAGCTGTTCCTGAGTCTTTAAAGTATTTCATAATACTAATAGTTTTGAAGAGCCCAGACCAGTTGTTTTTTCAGTGGTCACTTTGAGTTCGTCTGATTTTTCTTCATGGTACATAAATTTTAAAGTTATGCACTTTCGGCAGGAACGTCATGGAAGTGTTGCTGATTTAGAGGCAGAAATTTTAATGTTGAAACTTTTTAGGGGTTTTCTGACTACCTTTTTTTTTTTTAACTAAACCTTCTTAATAAGGAATTACTAATAGTATGTATTTCTCATATTCTAGAAATAGTCACTGCCTATAGCTTAATTTTAATGTTTTTTTTAAATCCCAACTGATTAACTTTTCTAGCCTCCCTATTGCATTTGACCCTGACCTTGTGCTCAGTGAAACTGGATATCTTTTTTAAAAGTATCTGGAACTTGTATCTCTTGAATGGGAAAAATTTGAACTGAAAGTTTGGGTTCCTCTGCTTACAGTTGCTATTAATGAAAGTGAAAGAGTTAATTTGGGGGATATTTCTGTTTAGATATTGTTTTTAATACAGTTACACTTCCTTATTTTGGTTAAATAGAGAGGAAAAATCCACTCGAAATACAGGGTTTGTGTGCATGGGCGTGTGATTTTTGTTTGATTAGATCTAGTGACTCGAGATCAGTGGGGGACCTGGATTAATAAATAAATAAACATTTTTTTCAATCCTTCCTCAAGGATATGTTTATTAATTTTAGAGCGAGAGGGAGAAAGACAGACAGACAGACAGACACACGTATTGCTGTGAGAGAGAAACATTGATCGGTTGGTTGCCTTCCATATGTGCCCCAACCAGGGATGGAGCTTGCCACCTGGGTATGAGCCCTGACCAGGAATCGAACCCACAACTTTTTGGTGTATGGGATGATGCTCCAACCAACAGAGCTACCCAGCTAGGACAACAAATAATTTTAATATACTAGTACCTATTCTTCTTTTATACATTCCTTTAAAAATTTTTTTTTCTGGAGCTGTAGCATTTATCTATAACCTTCACAACAATGCATGAGGTCAGTTACTTTATTTCATTTATTCACTCAACAAGTATTTCTTGAGCATCCATGGTATGCCAAGCACTGTTTTAGGTACTAGGGATACACATTAAATAAAACAGAAAAAATTCTTGTCCTTGGATATTAGCATTTCAGTGGGAGAAGACAAAGTTTATCCTTTTTAACAATTACGTGTGTATGTGTGTGTATATCTATACATGTATGTGTATATCTGTTAAGTAGTACATGTACAAAGTATGAAGTTCAAATGCTGTGAAACAGAATGTCGTGAGAGTAGGTCTCCCTCCTGACCATTTCCCCTGGCCTCTCACTTCCCTTCCCAGGCCTCCCCTTCTCCCTTGTCACCTACTGTGACTAGTGTGTTGTATGTCCTTACAGGAGTAGACTGTGTGTATGTAATTATACCTGGAGTATGTAGTTTTTTCCTACCCTAACTTTCATGGTTGCTTTCTATCTGTGCTATTCTTTGCCTTGACTTTTTCCCCCACTCAACAGTGTATCTTGGAGCTGTATCTTCTTTTGCTAAATAAATAGATTCAGGTTGTTTTTAGACATTTGCTATTGTAAACAATTTCTCACACACATTTCCTTTGGACCACAATTCAGTATATGTTTAGATAGATTTATGGAAATGAAATTTTCCATAAATTTCATTGGGTGACAGGGTATATATACATTTTACATTGTGATATTTGTCAAGTTATTCTTCAGAGTTTTGTACCAGTTTACACGCACATGGGCAGTAGATGAAAGTGCTTTATTCCCCCACCAACCCCGGGTTTATTAAGCTTTTGATATCAGTTACTTAACACAGAGCTCAAAGGGAAAAAAAATCACACTCTATAAACTATTGCTTATTTTAAAGAAAAGATTTTATTTCTTTATTTTTAGACAGAGGGGAAGGGAAGGAGACAGAGAGAGAAACATTGATCGGTTACACACACCCCTGGCCTGAAACCCAGGCATGTGTCCTGACTGGGAATCAAACCTGTGACCTTTTGTTTTGTGGGATGACACCCATCCCAAAGAGCCACACCAGTCAGGGCAGTAAACTATTACTAATTTGATTTCCTTACTGTTATTCTTTCTGTACAATTAAAAAATTGTTGTTTATACGCCGTATGTTTTTTCTGGACTCTAAGATGCACCCCCCTCCCCAATTTGGGAGGAATAATGGTTGTTAATGCTGCTGTTGAGTTCCATGTACATTTACATTGGTGAAATACTATATTATTTATGTTATTGAATATTTTACCACATTTTTTGCTTCAATTTTTTTCTATTTTCTCCTCTAAGACCTAGGTGCGTCTTGTCCGAAAAATACGGTACATTATGAAATAAGCAAATTTATGTTTGAAGTTTTTAAATGTTGAATTCACATAGCTTAAACATCCTTTTGGCTATCTTGTTTTCCATATGGATTTGCTCTAGACAAATATTTTATGGGTAACATAGAAATTACCTTTTTAAAAAAAGTTTTGTATGGGAAGTTATGAATTAACAGTGGCTACATTGCTATGATATCAGTATCAGAAAGTAAAACAACAGCTCTGACCAGCATGGCTCAGTTGGTCGGGCAGTGTCCTGTGAAGCGAGAGGTTGCTGTTTGGATTCCCTGTCAGGTCACATAGCTGGATTGCGGATTTGGTCCCTATTGGGGTACGTACAAGAAGCAACCAGTTGATGTTTGTCTCTCATGTCGATGTTTCTCTTGGGCATACCTTGGAGAGATTGTCCATTTGGTTTCAGACTATTGCAATAAAGCAAATATCATAACAATGAGGGTCACACAAAATTTTTGGTTTCCCAGTGCATATGAAAATTATGGTTTTTTAAAAAGATTTACTTTACTTTTTTTTTTTTTAAGAGAGGGGACGGGAGGGAGAAAGAGAGAAACATCAATGCATGGTTGCCTCTTGCACGCTCCCTACTGGGGACCTGGCCCACTACCCAGGCATGTGCCCTGACTGGGAATTGAACCTGCAACCCTTTGGTTCACAGGCCGGTGCTCAATCCACTGAGCCACCCCAGCCAGGGCTAAAAGTTATGTTTATACTCTAACGTAGTCTACTAAATGTGCATTAGCATTGTCTAAGAAAACAGTGTACATACCTGATTTAAAAAACACTTCATTGCTAAAAAAGGCAAACTATCATCTGACCCTGTTAGAAAATGGTGCTGATAGACTTGCACAAAACTTCAATTTGTTAAAAACAAAACAACCCCCCCACAATATCTGCAAAGTGTAATAAAGCAAAATTCAACAAAATGAGGTATACCTGTATTGAGAGATGTCACAAATAAATAATGCTGCCACCAAAAGAGAACATTCATAGATCATTCAAATGACTTCTGAGGACACAGAGTGGTAATACAGATCACATTTTGAAAACCATTGCTGTAAAAATGTTGACCTATAATGATGCGGACCCTGGCCCACAGGGTTCGTGTATTGTGGATTCGACGAACAAGTTCACATGGACTACAGCAGTCCTATGGAGAAAAAGGGACGGCATGGCCACTCTGAGTGAGAGAGGGTCCCGATCCCTGCCTGGATAGGCTTTTATTGCTTTTCCAGGCATATTACATTGAGGATGGTCCTCATTTACTATGCACAGGTTTGCCTTAGGTGTTTACCTTTTACAGAAAACAAAGGAGAGGATGTTGCTAATTATATCAAAGAAGGATATTTGCAAATGCAAAGGGAAAAGTGGTTGAACTGGTTGCACTCATCCTTGGGAGGTTTAGCATAGATTTTAGGCAGTTACTTGAGAGATATTCAGTAAACATTTGCTGCCTCAATCCAGGGTGAGGGAGTTTTAACAAAAGCAAGCCTCATAGCAGCCTAGGTACAATGCAGGCCTGATTCCCCACAGGAAAACCTATCTATGGGCATTGGTCCTGTGTGCTGACCTCGCTCCCCGCTCCCTGTCAGTTTTCCAAATCAGGGGCTGGGCTACATTCCCCACGCCATGCCGAATGGTTTCTTATACTATAAGATGGTTTCCTTTGTGTTATTTTGCCTATATAGTTTTGGTCTTGTAAACAAGACTATATTAAATTGGGTTTTTTAAAAATGAAATCATCTAACTCCACCTCTTAAGTGGTATCTAAACAACTTTTAAAGAAATGAAAATATTTCATTCACAAAGCATGAAAATATTTAACTTCAGGAAAGAAAATTGTGAATATTTTTAGGTATTTCTAATGATAAAAAACTTAGGCATAAGCATGAAATTCTTTTGCATTTATTTTTACAGGTGTCCCTTGGAATTTCACATTTAATGTAAAGTTTTATCCACCTGACCCAGCACAGTTAACTGAAGATATAACAAGGTAAACCATTTATTAATAGCTAACTATGTACTAAGTAATTCTCCTTATCATAAGCTCTGAGAATTTCTCTTTTCAGAACTGAAGAAAAATGGTGATCTATTAAACTAAGATAGAAAGGTGCTGATTACCTCAAGGCAGGCTAGCAAATAAGTGAGCCAAAAAGTGTCAAATATTTGTATTTGACTGGAAAAAATTGGCGGGGGAATTAACCATGCCCGTCACAGGTGTTATACCACGCCATGGACTGGGCACCCATCAACCATACCAACCTCCAAAGGGCAAGACACAAATGTAGTAGTAAGATAGCTTCGTTTTTTGTTAAAAATACTCCTCTCCCCCCATGTTCTTTCTTGTAGGGATTTAAGAAGCTAAAGCCCAAGTGTTATTATTAGTTCTTCTTCCTTCTAAAGGGTGTGATTAGGTGGATGATCCTTATGAACTAGGTCTTCCTCAGTAATTTTTGAGCCCACGTAATTTATGAAGTAAATCTTATTCTTTTAAAAAACAACGTACTGATTTAGGAGTGTGGCCTTTGTCAAATTCTGTGTAAATATTAACAAAAAAGAAAACGGGAAAGCAGTAGATAGTGAAGAGTGCTGCTACAGATACTTGTGTACGGGGCACCTTGCTCGGAGCCTGTGCATAGCAGGTGCTGGGCAGATGTCTTTTCAGTTGAACCGTCGGTGGTTGAGAAGTTACTTTCTCATTTTGTTCTTTGCTGTTCAACTATCTGATTACAGGCAAACATACATTTCTGGGCTTGAGGGTTTTTTTTCTCTCAAATAAGAGAATAGCCTAAGACTCTTAAAATGTCTGATTGTTAAGTACTGTGAAATTTCTATATAGTTTTAAAAAAATTATTCTTTGTCTTGTTACACTTAGTACAGTCTTAAAGTCGAGATTCATGATCTTTGCCTGAAAATATGCTTTGGTTATTTTTCACAGGTAACATTTGTCTCTTACAGTTGCCACTTACTCATCTTTCTTCATTGAGGTTTATTATGCATACAACAAAACAGATCTCTAAAAACTTTATTAATCATATTTTAGAGGAGCTTAATTAAGATTCTTGTGGTTGGTTGGCATTGCTCTTTTTTAAATATAACTACAGTAGTGACTAATTACAGATAGCAAAAACTGATGCCAATAAATATGTTATTCAATATTTTATTATGGTCAAAGCAAGGATATGATTCTGAATAATACACAAAATTAAATTTAATCATACCTCCCAGTTCTCCTCTTTGGTAGAACAGTCTGAACCGGTCATCTCGGTCAGTTAGAACAAGGGCTGGGCGGTCCAGGTCACAGGTGTGAACATTGTATTAACAGAAGCCAGGGTCTACACAGGGAGGGACATTTAGCTGGTTTGTCAGAATGAACTGTTTTAACACCAATCTGAATTCCCAACAGTTAGCACACTCATGGAATGAGTCTTACAAGGTGATAGTATGTGAAGGCCGAATGAAACTTAAGCCCATCTTGGAGGAAAAACACACTGAAAAATGTTCATATTCTAGGGGAAATGTATCAATAATGTCATTTTTGTATATGATGAGCAATATACCAGCAAAGCAAAGTGATGGAAAAGGCAAGGCCCGATTTCCGAGTCAAACAGCCTTTGTTACAGTCCGATGGACTGAGCTTACCCTCGGAGGCTGACTCCTCATCTGTAATCTAGCAGTGATTTCCCCCCTCACAGGTGTCCTCTGTTGAGGTTAGACAAGTGTATATGTGTACGTGGTTCTTAATGAAGTCAACAAAACATAGTTCCTTTACCTCCTTCAGACTTTGCTCGGCTTTTCCTCTTTTCTTTCTAAACCTCTTCCCAACCATGACTCCAACATACAGTTAAAAAAATTTTTTTATAGCTCAGTGGATTGAGCGCCGGGGGGGGGCTAGCACTATTGATGTTTCTCTCCCTCTCTCCTTCTCCTCTAAAGATAAAGAAATAAAATATAAAAAAAAAAAAAAAATTTTTATATGAAACAATTTCAAACACACAGAAAAGAATCAATGACAATACAAGGAACAACCATATACCCACCACATGGATTGAACAATTATTAATATTATCTCATACTTACTCAGTCACTTTTTTCTCTCTTCCTCCATCTCTCTCCCCTTTCTTCCTTTTCTCTCCCTATATTTTGTTGTTATTATTGCTGACATGGTGACATCTTTTCTCTTTTGGCTGTAGATATTATTTATGTCTTCAGCTTCGGCAGGACATAGTTGCAGGACGTCTGCCTTGTTCCTTTGCAACCTTAGCATTACTAGGTTCTTACACCATCCAGTCTGAGCTGGGCGACTATGACCCAGAACTCCACGGTGCGGATTATGTTAGTGATTTTAAACTGGCCCCAAATCAGACCAAGGAACTTGAAGAGAAGGTCATGGAGCTGCACAAATCATACAGGTAAATATGCCTCCAGGGTTTGTTCTGAGTTTGTTTCGTCAGTAAGTTTAAGCCTTTCACCTGGTATTGATTCAGTATTTGCCTTAGTGGGAACTGGTGCCATAGAAAGAGTCGGTATAAGCTGAATTCCCTCCCAGTTCTTTGGGTAAGCTGTTTAAAGCTCTCTGAACCTGTTTTCACATCAAAGTATTGGGTGTTGCATTGTAGGAGAAAATGAAATGAGGTAATAATATATGCAAAGCACTAAGCACTGTGTCTCTGGCACATAGTAAGTGCTCAGTAAATGATAGCTATTATTATGATTGCTGTATCTAATTTTTCCAAAATTTAAACTTATGCTGTATTAGGTGTCTTGTGATCCTTAGTACAGAGTTTCTTGACTTGGTGTCGGGAGCCGGCCAGCAACCGTCCCTTGACAAGGTCAGGATGGTTGAGATGCATCTGCAAGGCAGAGGCAACTGTGGCTGGATTTCCTGTCTATCTCTCCTTACCTGTTTGTTTGGGTGATCAAAAGGTGGTGGGATTTTTAGACACCTGTATTTCAGGTTCATTGATTTTCATAATTCCAATGAAGTTGTACAAAATAATTTCTTGACCAGAGAACAAAATTCCCTCTAATTAAATAGCCCCTGAATGTCTAAAAGTTGTTGGAGTAACAGCCCTTCCTTTACCTTGAACAGGAATATATATTAATTAGAATTTAGCAGGCAAAGAAATAGGAGAAGCTTGTTAGATACTATAAGCACATAGATACAATTACCAAGGAGTTAGAGTCCATAGTACATAGAGAAACATTTTAGACAGAAAAGGCTAGATAGCCAAGTTAGACATCACAAAGGCCTTATAATAAATTTCCTAACCTCTGCTCCATCTAGTGTACCTTTTGCCCCATGACAAATTCTGAGAAACTTTAATATACAATAAGACATTCAAATTCTATACATACAGCTACTTCTAATTGTCTGATTTATGACTCTCCTGGTCAAAATAATCTTTGTTTATTATAACTGAATCTATGGGAACTTTCATATTTTTCCTGGTTACCTTTGTATTAATTTTTTCTGCTTAACTGATTATGCTGTACTGCAAGTGTTAATCACTACCTAAAATGAAAATATAAAAACCTGCTTGTACTTGCAATAAACGGAACAGAGCTTCACTGTCCTTTGAGGCGTGTTGTTGTCTGTTACCCATCGCCAACGCCTTACCCACCTTTTGGGAATCCCTGGACCCCGCTGAGGCTGGTCCGCGGCAACTTGGGGTCTATGTACATGGATAGACTTCAGAGGGCCCATGAAACCCCTGAAGTTGTATTTAAAGTCTGTTAAATTTACTGGATTTTTTCATGGAAATATTGATAATGTCGAGAGGTATCATAACACATTTATCAAGAGCAAGGACTTATAGTTGTACTGAGCTGGGTTACATTCTTGGCTCTTTGTGGTCCTTCCCTTGGGATTTGGGTCATTCATTTAATCTCTCCAAGCCTCAGGTTTTTTACATGTCTCATAGAGATTATTTACCTCAGAGGAAATAGGGTGGTTGATAGGATTAGAAAAGATAAGGTGTAGAAAAACTTAATACAATGTCTTACACATGTACAAATTCCATAAATGTTAGCTAATAGTAAAGTGCCAGGATAATTTGTGTTTCTTCTACCGTACATCCCATTGTTATTTGAGTGACTTCCTATGCTAAATTTTGCAAACTGCCTTAGCCTACTAAGGCAAATGTATGATCTTGGCCTTGAGTTAGTACCTTGAGTTATGTTAGTATGAGTTATGTTATGATGTTCCAGAGGGTCACACTGCTGAGAAATCCAGCAGCCTTTTTTTTTTTATTTTTTTTGTTATTGTTCAAGTACAGTTGTCTCCATTTCCCCCCTACCACTTCCCCACCCCAGCCATCCCAGAACAGTCTTAGTTGGCTTTACATGATAGTAACAAGTGTTCTGTCTCACTGCTGAGCAATCTCGTTTCCTTGGAGTGGTTCCAATAGATTGAGATGCTTCAGGAAAGAGAGCTTTAACCCAAGGTATGCCAATTTCAGCTGTCTTATTTCCCCTGTAGGTTCTGGTGCATCAGTCATGAGAACCATGAGGGTTTTAAGTCTACAACCTGCATAGCAGTAGTCTTAAAAGAGTTACCCCACTCTCGCGGGGTCATACTGTTTCCCCATAGTGCAAAGAGAACTGTGCACTGATATCAGGACCCACCAAATACAGCATTTGCAACTTGTTGATGATTGTAACTTAAGGATATCACATTGTCCTTAATTATATTTTAATACTTTTATTTATATTCTGATGATTCTAGAAATATATATATATATATAAAATATATTCACTACATTTATATATACAAAATCAAGACTTGAAAGAAACAGTTAGTTAAAATAATTTGATTTGTTAGAATGTCAGGATGGTAGGGGAATGCTGTTTTTATTTTCTAATAATGTAGAAATGGTTTTTATGTTCTGACTGGTGTGGCTTAGTGGGGTAGGCTTTGTCCTGCAAACCGAACTTTGCCAGGGCACATGCCTGCGCTGTGGGCCAGGTCCTCGGGTGGGGGCATGTGAGAGACAGCCGATCAGTGTTGTTGCACATCAGTGTTTCTCTGCCTTTTTCCTGCCCTTCCCCCTCTCTAAAAATAAATAGATAGATAGATAGATAAGTGAAATGACTTATTATTAGTGGTATAACTGTAGTAAAATAGTAAATATACATGTATGTGTGCGTGTGTGCGTGTGTGTATTTTTTATTCTACTGCTGTGGAGCCAAACAGCAGATGCTGTCAGATTATGTTTCATACCTTAAATCTGTCTCTAATGATTCTTTTAATGGTTATTTGATCATAATAGAATTTCAGGTATGGGAGGACTTTATAATGTAACTCTCATCTAATGCTAGACTTTCTGTTGTAGTATTATTACACAGTCATTATAAGCTGCTAATTATTGTGTATCTATTATGTGCCAGATACTATGCTAAGCACTTTATATATAATACCACATTTAATCTTTATAACCATCCTTTGAGTTAGGCCAGCCTGGTGGTCTTTAAGACTTTTGCACAGGGTCCATGAGGTCAAAATTATTTTCATGGTGGTACTGTGGCGATACTTGCCTTTCCCCTGTGTTGGAGTGGGGGAAGCACAAACCAGGCAGCGACACCAAGCTAGTGATCATTATGTTCTCCCCCAGCGTGCCCCTTCATTTTCTAACTTGCAGTTAAAAATAAGACTAACAGAGCCGGTTCAGTTAGAAATTTTCTTGATAAGGCCATAAAAAAGATGATAATTTTATTAAATCTTAAGTATATTTCTGTTTAATATTCTGTGTGGTTAAATATGACGTACACAGAAAGCAGCTCCACTGCACACTGATACAGGAGTCGCCTTGAGGACAGCTCCTGTGTAACTGTTTGCAGTTGTGAGCTGAATTAGCCGCCTTTTTAATGGACACCATTTTTACTTGAAAAAAATGACAGTTATTATTCAGACTTGGTTATTTGGAAGTTGTTTTCTTAAAAATGAAATGATTTTCTTAAAAATGTTTACTAACCTGGTACTTTTAGGTTACAGGCCCGTGGGCCGAATCCGGCCCTCTACCTTGTTTTATCTGGCCCGGCACCTTGTTTCTACAGTAGTTACTTTGATGCAGTCCTAAAATTATATTCAGTCCTTTGAAGGCAGCCATGAAGCTGATGTGGCCCCTGGTGAAAATGAGTTTGACATACTTGTTTAGGGTTAGTAAACAACTGATAGTATTTGTTGCTAATGACAAAATTCAAGCTTTCAAGTGAAAAATTAAAATTTTGGAAAACTTGTATTTGCCACCATGATCTTGATAGGATCCAAATACTTAAAGGCTTTTCTGATGAAGTTGTGATGATTTTAACGAATGTGATTTTTTTTCTTATATTGTGCGATGAGACATGTCAACATTTGGAAGTCTTGCATTATTCAGTGAATTAGTGTTTTTCAAATATGAAATGCATGCTGTAATACTGGATGAAAAAGGTCCATTTAAAACATTCAAAATGCAAGATAGACCAATGGATTTAATGTAACACAGTATAAAAGTTTACTGATATGTTTTCAGATTTCACATTGCAAATGACCTTTAAGAATCTGCCATTGTTGAGTTTTGGTGTAGTATCAAAGAAGAATATTTTTAATTCTCAATCCTTTTCCAACTATGTGTCTCTGTGAGATCACATTAATATAACAAAATCAACATATTGCAACAGGTTGAATGCAGAAGCAGATAGGAATATCCAACCTAAGCCAGACAGTTAAAAATTTGTAAATATGTAAGGGAATGTCCATTTCTCACTACATTTGGAGAAAACATTGTTACCTTTTACACAAAAAAGTATTGTTACTTTTTACACATATAGAGAGTGAAGGGATCCTGAGGTCAAAAACTTTGAGAACCACTGAGCTAGGTGATAAGCTGGAAGCATGGGCTCCAGAGGCAGCCTGTCTCACTTTGAGTGCAGATGCCATTCCTCATTCAATTTATGACTTTTAGTAAGTTACTGAAGGGCTCTAAGCTTTAGTTTTCTGACCTGAAAAATAAGGGTGACGATATGAATTTTGTGATGGTTAAATAAGAAAATTCATGTAAAGTGCTTAGCATCATGATTAGTATGAAGTGAGAATTCAGATGTTTGCTAGGATAGTAATAATTCTTGTTCCTATTTTTTAAGTGATGCTGGGTTTAGAGAACCCTCGTCAGAATGTAACAGAATTTAAACCCCAAAAGGCAAAATGATCTCAGAGGACAAATGGATATGGTTCAGTTGATGTCCTGTTAGGTATGCAGATAGAAATTGAGCAATAATGAATCCCCTTGAATAGAAAATGTAGCAGTCTGTCATTTTGGAATTTACTTGCTCCTTTTTAGAGCGATCGGCAACCCTCACAAAACAGAAAGCCAAATGGGAATTTTAATTCTGTCCAGCAGCATGGTGTTTTAACCAATCCAAAGACACTTCTGCTCAGGCAGAAGCATTTTACTACACACTGAAAAGTACAGACAAGTGGCACCCTGTTCCTTGGGTAAAGTAGGAGACAACCAACGTATATGGAACCCTTAGTAGTGGCCCTTTGCCCAGACAGAGACTTTGAAGGTGTAATTACACTTTCAATTTACACTAGCAAATCAAGCTTTAAAATTAATTGCCCTCCATTTTATGGGTACTAGGAAGGTATGTAAACTTCTCAGTTATCTTCCTTAATTATTTGAAATCACAGTCCTTAATTAAGAGATGCAACGGACATCATGAAAAGGCTGTCACGTGACACTGGAGCTCTCTGAGTGGCTCTGCATCCTGACCCAACTTGCTCAAAATGAATACAGAGAAACTTTGTTACAACTTTCCTTTTTGATGAGCAAGAATTAACTGGTGTCAGAGCTCCCTGGTTAGGTACTTTTGTGAGCTGCAGTACTTTCAAGTAGTAAATTATTAGGTGGTACTTAATAATTCAAGACACTCATCTTAATGGTTTAGCAGCATCTAATCCCTTCCCAGCTACTTTGTTACTACTTTTAAGAGTCTTGGAAAACTTGGGAAAAGCCATAATCTTTAGAATGTTAAATTGAAAATAATTTAAGTTTAATATGGAACATTACATTTATAAAATATGTTATATTTATATGCACAAATGTCTGTAGGTGATGGGATTATAGGAGTTTTTTTTCTGTGCTCTTAGTGATATTTTCCAAATTGCATACAGTGAATATATATGATTTTTATAATTGGAAAAGGCTTCTTTAAGCAGTTTTTATCTAAAGTCATTAGTGGGGTAGAGCAAGATAGTTATCCATGCAGAAGGGCAGTCTGGCTGGGGATAGTTGGCCCTAAGCAGGGTGGGGAGAACGTTCATAGGGGTGGGGGGAGCAGTCTGCATGAAAAGTCAGAGTTCAAATAGGATGAAGAGCGTAGTCATGTGTGGGTACGCGGTGGTGGTTAGAGCTAGAGCAGAGTGAGAAAGGCACCCATGTGGGGGTAAGGACCACATGGTGTGGGGGACATCCGTATGGGTGGTACCTGGTTCAGGGGGGTGAAGCCTGAGCAAGATGAAGATGTCCACGGAAAGGGGTCGCCTTATACCAGGAGTCAGAACCTGAGTGAGGGAAAAAGGACAATCGTGTGGGGAGCAGCCCAGCATAGGCAGTTCAGACTCCAAGTGGGCAAAGGGGGCGTCCACGTGGGGTATGAGTCAATGGCAGCAATGAGAGATTGGTCATACACAGGAGGGCGATCAAATTAGTCAAAACATTAAAGGTAATAGGAGCCAGGTTTCTTCCTGTCCATAAAGCAGATACAAATTTTGGAGAATGGAAAACTAAAATGAACCCTGTGATACTGCATGAAAACTGGAGGTTCCAAAGTGAACCCATGGTTTCCGGTAGGTAGGTTGGTAGATAGATGAATACATACATACATACATACATACACATACACACACAGACAGTCACACACACGCACACAGACACTGACGCGCTCTAACTCTACTTTGTACCACAAGGAGGTGCTCAAAAAATGATAGGAAATGGTTGGAAGGACACAGAATCCAGGTTGGAGAGGCTTCCACTGACCAAATTTGAGCAATTTAAGCACTAAATAAATAAAGAAAATAATTATATTGCACTGAATAAAATGAGAATCCATGAATTGATACTGATATAAATAAATGAGTAAATTTAAAGTTTGATAAGAAATAGGATATTCAAAAGTGTTCACCTGTTACCTCAGTAAATTTAATTTAAAAGAAAAAGAAAATAATAGGTGGAGGAAGGTTTCAAAATACGTTCCCACAAAGCGCTTACTCATTATAAAGAGATAAGGAGGAGGAGCCTGGCAGACACCAGTGGTGTCTGTGAACGTCGTCCGTGAGGGGACAGATTGAAACTGTGTTCCACCTCGTAGGGTGTATGGAGGACACAGGGCTGGTTCTGCACATTCCCGTCGAAGATGCAGAATCCGCATCAACTCGTGGAGAAACGTCAGTCCCAAATGGGGGAGGCTTTCTATAGAACAGTTGGCCCACGATCTTCCAAAGGTTCAGGTTATGAAACAAAGATTAAGGAACTGTTCCAGACTGAAGAAGATGAAAGAGTCATCAGCTCATTGAAACTTGTGATGCTAAACTGGACCCTTTTGCTGTACAGAATGTTTTTGAAACTGGCTAACCTTGAATGGGGGTTAGGTGGAAGTAATGTATTAATATTTCCTGGTTGTGACCATTACATTGAGGTTATGTAGGAGAATGTCCTTATTTGTAGGAATGACACACACTTGGAAACGATGAGTCATCGGGTTGACAATTTACTCTCACAGTTCAGGAAAAAATTACTTGTATTATAGGTAACTTATTTTAAAGATCTTATTTTTCAATTACAGTTTACATTCAACATTATTTTGTACTAGTCTTTGTGTTATAGGTAACTTATAAGTTTGTGTGTTTCAAAATTTGTTGAATTATTTTCAACTAATAAGGAAAGTTATAGTTTTAAAGTTAAGTAACTAAGGGGGGTGGAAATGGGAGGGAGTTGGGGAACATGGGGCGGGGTGGGCTGGGATGGGAAAAATAGAAAACTGTACTTGAAAAATAATTAAATAAAAAAAATTAAAAAAATAAAGTTAAAGATCTCTTTTTTTTCTACCTGCCCATAATAGTTTTAAAGCGTGCTTACTCAGAAAAGCATTTAAACACATAGTTTGACATTTAAATCTGTATTCAAACTGACCCCATTAAAGTCCTTTAGAGTTGGAGGAGTGAGTTTAAGGAAGATTTTGTCATAATTGTTTCACTTAATGTTTTAAAATTTGTCTTCAAATCCATGTGGTCCAAATTATTTCTCTTTTATGAGCTGCCATAAGCTGTATCACTGTACCATCAGAAACCTAACTTTGCAATAATAATAAACATTTATATTTTATGACGCAGTTTCACAAGCATTACCTGATTTTGTTCTACCAGTCACATTTATTCATTTAGCACAGACAAAAGTCATTGCCTATCCTAGTCTCAGAAAGTAGGTATTGTTATGACTCTTTATAGCTGGGATATTGAAGGAGACACCAGGTCACCACTTTTTTTAAATTCAGGAGCCAGGATTCCAGTTCAAGCAATAAAACTTGAGTGCTGACTAGATCCTGCTGCCTTAAACGAGGAGTCACACCTCGCCCGTGACCATGTGATCCCTCAGGGCCTGTTTCTTCATCAGCAAAATAAAAGTGTTGGACTCTGTAATCTTCCAGCTCCACTCCAGCTTCAAAATCCTAAAATTCAAGCCATAATAGTAACAACAAAAACCATAAAATGACTGGAGTAACCTTAATTATAAAAGTATTTAACTTACGTGTGTGTGTCGTGGGGGAACAGGGGGACCACAAAACTTTCTTGAGATGTTTTTAATGACTTGAATATACAGACCTGTAAATGTCTTATTTTTTCCTTTCTTTTGTGTGTGTATGTTCAGTTTGAGATCCATTTACAAACAGAGCTCAGTGCGGTGCTGGTGAAAAGAAGTGTGTTCAGGGAGGCTGAGACATGAACAAATCTGCTCCCTCTCTCCTAAGATTTTTTTTTTGGTTGTTGTTCCCAGAAACCCTTTGTTCCTTTTAATGAGGGTAAAGACAGATGGGTTAGGAAGAGACGTTTTCCGTCCTGTTAAATGAATAGGCCACTGCTGCTTTATATAGCTTGAGCCAGTCTTATGGGAAACAGACATTTCCATGGTTTTTCTTTGGGGACTCCCCCAAAGAGAGTTGATTAGTTGATTGGTCCGAATTGTGCAGCCCTAGGAGTGATCTCTTTCTCTCCAAAGCTCAACGTGACTGCTCAACAGCACTTTTCCAAAGAGAGGAAAGTTGCAAAGGAGAAGGAAAGACCATCACAGTGAATGCTTAGGCAGTGAGACCGATTGTTTTCAAATAAGCCAAATTCATTGTATGCCCAGTAATGAAGACATCTTAATAACAGGGAAAGCAGCCCCATTATCTACATGCTTCTATTAACCAATTTATTTTGTTTAGATCAGTGGGCAGGAACACCATCTGTTACCAGAAATTTCCTTTTCATCAAGCCTGCCCCCATTAAGAATTCAGCTAAGTAACTTCAGCTGTCCTCCTGTTTAATTTCCATATTAACTCAATTTAGGAGGATGGCGAGGAAAAGGCAGCTAAAAGGATATTGTAAATTGTACCATGCCCTCTGAGGATTTAGTTTGGTCACCCCTTTAACAAGAGAAGTTAGTGGGTGGAGTTTATGTGTTGGAAGAAAAGGCTGAGGAGAGGGAGGGGCAGAACTGATGGTAGATGAGGCTACTGTAAGGAAATTGTTTAGTAGGATTTTTTAAAACTTTTTCTGATAGCTTTTTGGTGGGCTTTTTGTTTCTTTAAGATCTCTTATCTGAAGACATTTTTCATGAATCATTTTCCATAATATTCTACTTCTAGAACTATGAACTGTATCTACATGCATATTGGTGCATATATGTTTATGTGTTTATATGAAATACAATAATTATGTAAATGTCATTGTAAATGTTGACGCTGTGACACTGAGTTTTCAATTTGTATCTTATCAAAGGTCCATGACTCCAGCTCAAGCTGACCTGGAATTTCTTGAGAATGCCAAAAAGTTGTCCATGTATGGTGTTGACCTTCACAAAGCAAAGGTACTGATAATTTTGGCCTTTATTCACATGCATGTGTCAGACCTGTGTCATGTAACGCTTCTCACCAACCTTTATCTGGGATGTTATTGTAAAACATCCTAAAGAGATAGGGATTCGTGTTAAATTTTAAGTCTACAAATTGAGTCAATTAAGTGTTATCAAGTATGTAAATTGAATCACCCTTTTGCAGTTCCACCATCAGAGTTCAAGTTGCATATCCAAGTCACTGTGTAGATCAAAAAGATAACAGCACCTAGAGCAAAAGAAATGATGTTTTCTCAAAATGCAGCTACATTTGAAAACGTAGAGTGGCATCAATGCATCTTTCACAGCCAACGTCACTACGTCAGACTCACTTGGAGCGTTTGTTAAACACGCAGGTTCCCAAACTCCTCCCAGACTTATTGTGAATTATTTTGGAGGAAAGGCTAAGCTTCCAGATTTAATGAATATCCCAAATGCTTCTCATCTATGCTTGAGTCTGAGAACCATTGACCGAAGGTAGCAGTTCTCAAAGTGTGGTCCCTGAACCAGCACTTAGCATCTCTAGGAACTTCTTAGAAATGCACATTTCGGGCCCCATCCCAGAACTGCTGAATCAGAAACTTTGTGAATGGAGCCCAGCAATCTGCTGAACCAAGCTGTTCACTGATTCTAGTACACATGGCATGAGCGATAGTGGCTCATTTGAAAACCACTGAGTTATGAAATTGGAAACTTGAGCTTTAATCCTGGTTCTGCTTAATACACCCTAACAGAATGAATACTGAAGGGAAGTCACTTGACTTCTGTCATCTTCAGCCGCTAAAGTGGCTGGGAGGCTGAGGAGTTTTTGAGGGAAAGGGCTCGAGAGATGGTCAGAGGTTCGTGCAGAGGAGCTTAACTAGGATGCATGAAGAGGGGACTCAAAACTATGTCCAATGAGAAACCAGCAAAGGAATAGGGATACTCAGCCCACAGAAGGGAAAATTGGGAAGACATAATTTCTGTCTTCACGTATTTAAAGGATTGGTGTGTGAAATGGAGATTTTACTATTGTTCCAAAATGTAAGACCAGAGGCAGGAAACTGGAAACGACATGGAAAGACTGTCCAGCTCAGTCTGACAAACTTTCCATCCGTCAGAGCTATTCGAAGATGGGGTGGGCTGCCTCATAAGGTGGTGAGGTCTCTCTTTCTGGAGGTAGTCCAAGATAGGCAGTAGAGTCTCGTGGAAGCAATTTAGAAAAGGACATTAAAACATATGGTGGGTGATTGGCCTAAAATGACCTTTTAGGCTTCTCCCAACCTGAGTGTCTGACATCTGAACTCTTTTCTTTATTTACATTAATTCTGTTAAAATTTCATTGCATGTTAGTGCTTTTCTTAAGATGTTGCTCCAGTTGTTTTGGGCTGAGTACTGTAACTTGAATCTATGCAGTCTGTGAATCTGCAAAGTAGATAGTAGGAAGACTAGTACATCAGATGAGCTGTATTTCCAGAACCGAAATTGTTTGGTTTTGCTCCTCACTTCCTACGGGAGGCTGGTTGCTGATTCAGTAATTTATCTGGGATAGATGGAGAAGTCAGGTAGCATGTTCCTTTCCCAAATGTTGTAAAGCAAAGTGTTTCTCCAGACATACAATTGAGAGGTATAGTTGTACCCACATGTTTTAAGGACTTAAGAGGGCATCTTCTGAAAAATTCTCGGTCACACAGTCATTGAATTGGAGCTGTACATAATCCCTACTTCTTGAGTGTGCTTGTACACACACGTGTTGGCACTAAGATGTTTCTCTATATGTAGTTCTGGGAAAGTAGTCAAGAAGCATTTAACTCTAGGTGTTGATTACTTATCTAAATAGTAATCATCTGTAGAGATTAAAATTTCACTCAGGTGAAATTTAGTTTTCTTGAATTGCAGATATAGATGTTACATATATTTAATTTCTAGAATTTTCTCTAAGAAGTGAGTGAAAAGGTGAGAGGACTAAGAAGTACAAATAGGTAGTTACAGGACAGCCATGGGGATGTAAAGTACAATATGTGAAATGGAGAAACCATAGGACTTATACGCGTGACCCATGGACTTGAACAGTGGCGTAGGGATTGCCTGAGGGGGTGGGGGGTGCTGGGGGGAGGGAGGCAAAGGGGGAAAAATCAGGACAACTGGTAATAGCACAGTCAATAAAATCTAATTGAAAGAAAAAATAATTTTCTTTGAGAAAAGACACATGTAAACAGGACTATATTTTTCTTACTGTTCTTTCTTAACTTGGGGGTGATATTTATAATTTAATATACTTAACATAATTATAAGAATCTGTGATCCTCTCACACTGAGCTTATATAGGAATAAAACTAACTCCTTTACTTATAATTTTTAGGAGGGATGTCCACTTTATCATTTTTTTAAAAAGAATTTTAATTGTGCGTGATGTTTGGTGGTATACATGTCAGTCTAAATGAATCAAAATTGTTGTAAGTCAGAGGCAAAGATTTTGCTGATATTTGTCATAATAAATTATGAATAATAATGTAGGCAGGTAACAAATTTAATGTAAACATTTACTGAGTATGTTGTCAATAACAGGCAGTATTTGGGGTGATACAGAAATGATTAAGCTACAATTTCTACCCTCAAGGACTTGACTGTAATTTTTTCTCCTTATTTTCCTGATTATAAAAGTGATATATATGTATCTATAATTATGTAATATAATAATTATTAGTAATAGGTATGTATGTGTATCTTACCTAAACATATTTGTATGTGCCTAGAGAATAGGATGAAAATCCTGGAAATTACCAAATTATTACTGCTTACTGTTAAGGAGTGTGGGAAAAGAGGGTAGAATTTTACTTTTATTTTACACACTTCTGTATTGTTTGAATTTTTACACATATATATGTTTTTGTGATATTTACATTGTTTTAAGAAAATTACACATGCTCTTTATAATTGGAAAGTATAGAAAACTAAACAAAAAATTGCTCATAATTTGTACCACCTAAAAAATGCCATTGTTAACATTTTGGTATATTCATCTTTCTTCTATGTGTATTTTTTATATTGTTAGGATCAAATTGTATATGCAGCTTTAACCTGCTTAACATTACAAAACAATTATTTTCCCATTTATCTCCCAAATTTTATGGAAATATTTTAATGGCCACATTTTATTTCACCAAAGGATGGACAATAATTTAACCCTCGTGCTTGAATACTTAGGTTACATCCAGCTTTTCACTCCTGTAACGTTCTGAACGTTTTCATGTATAAAGTATTTTCTGTGATTTGAATTATTTTCTTGGAACAGATTACAGAAATAGAATTATTGTGTCTGATTTGGATACTTAAAGATATTTGTAATAGGTAATAAAATTGATTTTTTTAAAAATGTGGCAGAGTAATGACATTTTTACATGGACCAAATAGTCCCATGGGTTATGATTATTACTGTTTTTGGTTGTTGATAGCTTCTGATTGTCTAGTAAGAGTTGACAGTGCGTTGAGCACTTTGCTCAAGACTGAGGTGCTAACGCTTCTCTCTTTCAGGACTTGGAGGGAGTGGATATCATCCTGGGCGTCTGCTCTAGTGGCCTTCTGGTTTACAAAGATAAACTGAGAATTAACCGCTTTCCCTGGCCCAAAGTGCTGAAGATTTCTTATAAACGTAGCAGCTTTTTCATCAAGATTCGGCCTGGAGAGGTACAAAATTTGTGTTTCTTTCTTCCTGAATCAAACACAGACCATGTCTAAAACATCTCTTCCTTCCTGTTTTCCTTGTTTTGTCATCTAAGAGTTCTCTGTAGTTAACGATGCAGGAGCTGATGCTGTTTTCTCAATCAGTCCTGTAAGGCTTTTCTTCCTTGCCACTGGTTTTTGGGGCATTCCTCTTTATGTACGTAAACATACCGTGGCCAGAAGTGAAACTTGGATTGTTTACTCTAGGTAAAATCTTGATGGAAAATATTTTTCAATTAAGTAGCGTGACATTTTTAAATTGTGGGGTTAAGTTATGCTTGTATCACCAATCTCTTACCTCATATAATTAAAATGCATTTGTATGTAGCTTCTAGTAGTTACTGGGAATATATTCTAGGGTCAACTCCTAGATTTTTAATAGAGTTATTTAACTTTGTGTCAGATAATTCATTTATTAGTTGGTGGGCAAGTTTTAGAATATACTGATGCTGACCAAATTTAACTTTTATGTTCAAGATCGATCAGGGTATAGTGGAAAACTTTAAGTAGGAATTAAATTTTAAAACAGTTCTAGCTCCTGCTCTGCCACCTACTAAATAAAAGACCCTGGAGAAATCTAAAGCTCAGCTTCTTCACCATTCAAGGTAGGCAGTACTTTCTCTGTCAGAGTTGAAGATCAAAGGAGGTGACAGCTGCAATAAGCAGGAAAGCATCAAACTACTGTAAAGTGGCTTTTGTGTGTATATCACCATCTGCTGGTGGAAATGTCTCATTATTTGAGCATCGAAATACTGAACGTGCAGCATGAAAAGTCTCATAAGGATTATCGCTGAGGCATTTACTTAGGACCATAATGATTTGTCTGTGCCTGTCCCAGCAGTTGCTATCTTCCAACAGAGTTTCAAGTCCAAAAGTCATTTAGTCAAGAGATACTAATTGATGGCATTCTTTGTGCCAGGCACTATCCTTGGGGTGAGGAACAGTGAATGAAAGAGTCCATCTCTCAACAATCTTACATTTTAATGTGGGAAGGCAGAGGATGTCTGTATTTATACATATACATACACACACACATACACACAAATTTTAATAAGTTTAATAGTTGAAGTCCTTGGTTTCTTTAAGTGTCAATTCTATACTGTATACTAAAAATACAGAATTCTTACTTTAAGAAAGCAGTCAGAGCCCTGGCTGGTGTAGCTCAGTGGCTTGAGCACGGGCTTGCAAACCAAAGGATCGCGGTTTGATTCCCTGTCAGGGCACATGCCTGGGTTACAGGCCAGTTCTCAGCAGGAGACACACAAGAGGCAACCATACATTGATGTTTCTCTCCCTCTCTCCTTCCCTTCCCCTCTAAAGATAAATAAAATCTTTAAAAAACAAAAGAAAGCAGTCAGAAACAACAGTAGGGTTTTGAGAAGCGAAGTGTTATGACTGCAGTAGATGACTTAGAAGCAGCATGGTTTAGTGGAAACTGTGAAGTTCTGGCTCTGCCACTTCGTAGCTGTGAGACTGAGCAGTAACTTGTCTGACCTCAGTTTTTTCACGTGTAACACTATCTCATCACATTGCTATTGGCAATAATGAGCGCTAGAAATAAACATTAGTTTGCTTTCCATTTTAAAAAGTATGCTTAAGGCAGAAACAAAGAAGCAAGGGACCAGCGGGACAGTGTTTCTAGTGGCCCCGGCAGGATATGGTTTGCTTCAGACAAAGAGGTATTGAGATGGCCCTGGCTGGTGTGGCTCAGTTCGTTGGAGCATGGTCCTGTGACCAAGGGTTGAGGGTTCAATTCCCGGTGAGGGCACATACCTAGGTCTCGAGTCTGATTGCCTGGATGGGGCACGTGTGGGAGGCAGCTGGTCAGTGTTTCTCTCCCTCCCTCCCTCTCTCTCTCTAACAAGCAATGAAAATAAATGTCCTCTGGTATGGATGGGGAAAAAAAAGAAAAGAAGTACTGAGATAGATTAATGATCAACTAAGAGAAAAAAAGAGAAGACAGTAATTCAAGAATTGATTTGAGCCAAAATCTTTAATCTTTAGTTCCTATTACAAAAAAAGAGAGGACTGAATAATAATATTGATTGATTGGAGGACTCATATCTGTCCCATTCCCTGAGCATGGATAGTCTAGTGTCCCAAGTGCAGATGGTGACTAAGGAAGAGCAGGCAGGGTCTGGACGATCAAAAGGTGACTTAATGATGGCTCAGAAAAATGTGCTCTGTGCGTGTGTGTTTCTGAACAAAATAAGATGCATTCCCTGGCTTCCTTGTTGTGGAAAAAGTCACCTCGGTGAGTAAATTTCTTCTTGTAAGTAGGAAAAATTTCAAATATTTTACGTCTTTAGACTAGGAATGCTGTTTTTATTCTTGATGACCTTTTCTGTAGCACCGTGTTTCTCTGGTCCTGTATTACTGTAGTCAAGCAATCCTTTTATATTCTGTGTTAATCTGTGTTTTTATAGCAAGAACAGTATGAGAGTACCATTGGATTCAAACTTCCCAGCTACCGAGCCGCTAAGAAATTATGGAAAGTCTGTGTAGAGCATCACACATTTTTCAGGTATTCTTCTCACTTAAGTATTTTGCAGGGATAAATTGTGCATGTTTCTATTTTAAACCTGCCATTAAAATTCCCTTCTTTGTATGGCTGGCATTCTTTTATTTAGCTCAGGTAGGATCATCTTAAGCAAGACAAAATGAATCCATTTCTCCTTTGGGCTGAGTCATGCCTCCGCATCCCCAGAGCACCTTTCTGTGTATGGTAGAAGGAAGAGGGAAGTGAGGACTAGGGACCTGTGTTGACGAGGGGCTCTGTGATTGCCCCAGCTGGAGCTGAAACCAGTCCTTTCAGGAGGAGGTACCCGGAACTTACCTCCGCATGCAGTCTCTCTAAGCAATGCTTGACTGCTTTCTGTGGGATGTTTACTGGAGAAGGTTAAAGGTATGAAACTGATCGTTATCTTGGCCCTAACCAACCCCAGAAAGGGAGCACAGAGAACCCAAGCTCAACTGTATCAAATAATCAGGAGGTAGAAAAAAGTTTTTATCTCCTCTGGTTTTCAAGAGGCCATATCATTAACCCCCTGTATTCAATTTACCAAGCATTTTCTCTGTGCTTATCCTTTGTGTAGGTACTGTACTAGGCACTGAGAATATACCATGAGAACATGAAGTCTAGCAGAAAATACAGACCATGGACCAAATAATTACTTGTATTGAAAGGAGAGCCAGCTTTTTATTGTTGGCTTGTCTTTTAAAGAAAAAATTTTTTATTATGGAAAATTTCATATGTAACAACAGTAAAGAGAATAGTATAATGAACTCACTGAGTACCAGTCACCCAGCTTCAGTAATTATCACCCCAAGGCAAGTCTCATTTTATCTATAGCACCCCCCCCCCCAGTTCTTCCCATTGCTTCCCAGATTATTTTGAAGTAAATCCAAGACCTCATGTCATGTCATTCATGAATAAATTTGACTGCATGAATGGCTCTCAGGAGGCAGAATCATGATATCTTTTCCTTCTGTTTGTCATTTCATGTCATACTTTGCGCTATAGCACAGTGGGCAGGAAGAAAAGTCAGGGAAAGTAACATTGATTCTCATTTCAAAATAAAACATGAGGGTCCATTTTATACCCAATTAAAGAATCTTAATTATTGGCCATTAAGATACTTTTTTATGCTTTCATCTTCCTCTTCTATAAAATCAAGCCAAGAAAATAGAATTTTGAAAAAGGGTAAGGAAAAGTAAAAAAAGTTATTTGAATGTTTAATATCTGTGGTATATATTTTAGCTTCAGCCAGTGTATTTACTTGGGGGATAGCATTATTTAAATCCATTGCATCAAAATAAAAGGACATGTTAACATGTAATGCTCTGTTGCTTAGAAAAAGTCGGTATTTGCTGAATTAAAATGAACTATCTCCAAGGAAAAAATACTCTTTTTTTATAGTAGTTGATGTGGTAATTTTTTATTCAGCAAACATTTATTGAGTGCCAAATTCATGCCAGGCACTATGCCAGAGGTGAAAATACCGAGAAGAATAAGTCATAGTCTTTATCCTTTACCCTTAGCGAGCTCATGGTCTTGCAGTGGAGCCCAGCACATAAATTGTTTCAATTCAGTGCCGTAAATGCCACTACAAAAGAGAGCATGGGGTGCTGCGTAACACGCAGACGGGGCTCCCAACTGAGTTGAACATACACCAAATAACCTATTAAATAGGTTTCCAGGCATTAGTGGGGTTTGGAGTGCATTTGATAGGCTTGTTCTGGCGAAGTGGAAAAAGAGCTCTGGCCTTGGACTCTGTTACTGCCCAACCTCTTAACAACTATGTGACCTAAAGCAAGTAACCTTTTGAGGTTCAGCTTCTTGTATCTATAAAATCATGACAATATTACAGGATGTAGTAAAAATGTCACAGTGCTTCAAAAGTGTTTGAGAACCCTAAGGCCCTACTTAGTAAGATAATATTATTACTATAGGCCACAAGTAAATTGTACGTTGCTTTGAGAAATGACGTAGAATTAAAATAATGATTGCTTGATTTGAAATCTCTCTTAGTAACTATAAGGAAACTGAGAATTTTGAAGCTTTTAAAAATCTAGACTTTTGTCTTTGATCTCACCATCTCATTAGAGTGAGATAAATATATGCTAATATGATCGTTCTGGGTTTCTTCTGCCCCCAGGTTGACGTCTACAGACACCATTCCTAAGAGCAAATTTCTTGCACTGGGATCCAAATTTCGATACAGCGGTCGAACTCAGGCTCAGACCAGGCAAGCCAGCGCCCTGATCGACAGGCCCGCTCCTCACTTTGAGCGCACAGCAAGCAAACGCGCATCCCGGAGCCTCGATGGAGGTTTGTACTGAATTTTGGTGATTCCTTATGGCCCCAACTCTTTAGGGAGAGATAGAGGAAGCGCAGGTGTCTGTAAGAGAGCCAAACTGAAGAATGTCATTGGCAAAATGAAATGGATCTCACTAATTGTCTACGTCGGTGGGATCATCTGAAGAGAAAGAGAAGTGAGGTTCAGAGAGGGTAGTAACCAGACCAGGGTTCCACCGGCAGGTAGTAGTAGACTGAACATAACTAGAATCCAGAACATCTACCACAGTGAAAACCCAACACAGTGTACTGAAATAAAGCCCTCTTGGATGTTTTTACATACTTATTTTTTCAGGTAGGAAGAAGAAGAGGCTGCCTCACCAGAGCAATCATTTAAAAAGTTGAGATCACTTGTCATGTGGCAGTTATAAACAGGAAGAGCGGTCCTGTTTTGGGAGTCTCCAAATTTTGTTTAAATAAAATAGTGAGGCAGTAAGTTTCGTGATTGTGTATTCTGACAGAAGATCTGTCTGAATTTTTCTAAGTTTAATCTCAAGGATATGTGAGCATTACTGAAACGAAGTAGCAAACCGCATTCAGTTCTTTATGCCATTAAAAAAAGGCAATAAATAAGTGCAGAAGACAGTAAAGTAGAGTATTGTTACAGCTGGTGCTCAGAGCATCTGCTTCCCCAGCTGCTGAGCTAAAACTAGTTCAGATCCTGCTTTATATGGGAACAGTCACAGGGATAGCCACCAGTGATGACGAGGATTTTCCAACTTACATTTGTGTGGTCCTTTTTGCTTTTCAAACCATTTCCATATATTTCTATTTAATACCAACAATCATTTGGTACCAAGAAGCAGTTAGGAATTCTTGTTTCACTCATGAGGAAACTAGGGCACAAAAAAAGTTACATAACTGGCGAGGGCGACACAGCTGGAAAGTTCATCCACGTGGTGAGCAGTGGTTGCAGCGGTTTTTGCCAGGGGCAGACGCACCTACCGTCTTCGGGGCTTGAAAACAAATGCCCAGGCCTCACTCTTAGGTATCTCATCTGTCCGTGGTGGACCTGAGCATCAGCTGGTGTTTTTTCATTCTGTTTTGTTTTTAAGATAATAGATGATTCACATGGGGTCCCTCTGAAAATGGAAACACGGATTTTTTGCTACCTATTATTGTGCCTGTACTATACTAGCAGAAATTGTGCTAGTGAGTTTCAGAGCTAGAACTAGAATTTAAGTCTCCTTTTACTCAGCTCGAGGGGTTTGAGTTTACTCTTCACTGCTCTGGTGTACAACTATCTAAGTTCCAATTGCCCAGGCAGGAGCAATGTAATACTGGAATGAATGGGTCCATAAGGTTATCACAACCTGCACTCTTTAGCTATGGGAAATAATTGAATTTTCAGGTCATGGGCTCTCTACATATGCATCAAAATCTTGTAATAGTTAACAAACGAATTCATAAAACTGCAGAGCCAAAACATCTTAAAAATATTTACAACCTACAACACTGTGAATGTACTAAAAACCATTGAACTAAGCGTTCTAAGTGGGCAAATTGCATGGTATGTGAATCATATCTCAACAACCAGAGATGCTACCATGATTCTCTGTTCCCGTCCATGGTTTGTAGTCTTCTTATTGAAAAGAGGAACGCATTGTGCCTCTTTCTAGGGCTCCCAAGTTATATCTTTCACTTGAATTGCATATTTGTGTGTACAGAGTTTTTGCCCCACATGCTCTTAAAATAAGGTATGACCTTAAAAGTTATTAATATTTAGGTTTATTAAGTATTTTTAAAAGGTACTTATTTATTTAGCCAGAAAGAGAGGGAGAGAAACACCGATGTCTGAGCTATACATCGGTTGCTTCTTACATACCCCCAACTAGGGCCTGTGGCAGGCAACCCAAGAGTGTGCCCTGACTGGGAATCAAACCGGCAACCTTTTGGTTTGCAGGCCAGCACTCAATCCACTGAGCGACACCGGCCAGGGCAGGATTTATTAATCATTCTTATAACCATTGAACATGCCTTCCCCCGCTATTCTATGGACTTAATATCGTCCACATTTTACAAATGATGAAACGTTCTGCCTCTCTTTCTAACTGCCAGTTTCCACATTTCTATCTACTTTTCCACATGTGGCACAGATTTGCCAGGGCTGGGAATGCTGAAGACGTAAATCATTTGGCTCTGCAATATTAGTATTGGATTGCAACCAAATGCAAGTGGCAAAATAACACATGGTGGAAGCATGGGCTGTGTTTCTGTGATGCCAGTCAGAGCTGAATTAATTCTTTGAGAGGAGGTGTGAATACACATGTATAATGATACTTTCACACAACTGCGAGCAAAATATTTTGTCACATTCCCCTGTGTTGTTGGGTTTGGTTTGCCATCTGCCATTCTTGCACTAATTGGCTTAGAGCACTCATGAGTAGCGGGGACTTGTAACAGGGCAGGTTTCATTGAAAGCTAAAGTACATTCTTGTGTTTCTTTTTTTTTTAATGTTGTCTGAGGAATGGTTTCTTTCACTGGAAATCATTACAGGGTAACAAGCATTTCTTTCTGGGTGTTGTCTGAATGAAGTAGTTGTGAATTTCCATTTTTTAAATCTATTCTGATTCATGGATTTCTTTATCTAATCTTTACTGTTTATAAATCTAAATTTATCAGAATATGTTAAGTTCAGTATACTCAGTTTAAGAGGCAGGAAAGTGTGTCATAAAAATTGTAAAGGTTTTCGCCCTTACCAACGTGGCTCAGTTGGATGGGTGTCATCCCACAAAGCGTAAGTTTGCTAGTTTGATCCCCAGTGGGGCACATGCCTGGGTTGTGGGTTTGGTCCCTGGTTGGGGCAGGAATGAGAAGGAACTGACTGATGCTTCTTTCTCACATTGATGTTTCTCTCCTTCTCTTTCTCCCTCTATTCCTCTTTCTAAAAATAAATAAAATAATTAAAAAATAACAAAATGGTAGAGGCTTTCATTCAAGATAATTAAAATTTAAACCTGTCAGTACATGAAAGGGTAATTTGTTATCAGAAATATTAAGTCATGTGCAAACACTGTAACTCTGGACACTGCTAGAGAAGTGAGGTTTTACTACAAAGTGTGTAGATGTTTTCTGCTAGTCCCTGGAAGAACGGAGATAAAAGTCACGAGAGTGTGTGTGATTATTTTGAAGTAAGCGATCTTAAACTGAGATGCCAAATAGTCCAAACCAAAGGAAATATGAACTCTGTGAAAAGATCAAATTTCATCATAATCCTACATTGAATATTCTCTCTAAAATAGTGTATACATAACCTTTTTCCAACATTGAGGCTGCTTAACTTCAGCAGCCTTGGCCTGTACGTAGTGGGTGCCCGTACCCCCTCCATGTCCCTTCCCAGGCGTGGCAACTAAAAACGTGTCCAGGCACAGTCGTGCACTCCAGGGGGACGGACTCGCCCCGGCTGAGACCTGCTGCCCTAAATACACCGGAGAACAGGGGTTCTCATGTGAGTCGGTAAGACTCGAGGAGATGGTAGAACAAAACGCCAAGGTTGGGGGCGGGGCATTGTTTGTTTATTTTAAAGACTAATGGCCAAAGGTTTTGAATTCATATTATGTTAATCAAATGACTTATTAAAAATCAACGTGTTTTTATTCAAAGATTTGCCCTTAAACAATCATCAAAAGTATACATGTCTTAGGAGATCCATTTATCAAATTATTTTGTAATCATTCCATAACAGAAGAAATCAGACTTAATCCTTCTTCCTAAAATATATTTTTAGGTTCTTGAAATTATCAAAAAGTGAATAAATCTTTATTTCAAAAAGGCTTTATGGAAGAAATAAGCTTAATTAACTGTTCCCCTTACATAGACTGCATTATAGGTTCTTAAAACCAACAAACATATTACAAGGTTAAACAATTGCTAATGTTTTAATAAAGTGGGTTTTTAGTTTCTTTTCTTATTTTGATGTCAGTGCCTCCATGCACAGCCCCTGTTCCAGAACACGATAGCTGGCACATTTCAGCTTTTCTGTTTTCGCTTTCTTATTGCCATCGGTTACCTGGCGGAGCGCTACTAATGACTTATTTTTATACTGTCCATGTGATGGTCCACTGGACACTGTAGCACTCGTATGTGCCACCTGGTGACTTTGAAGTGGTGCAGTGACCCTTCATCACTCATTCCCCTCTTTTCCTTTTCTCAAATGACAGCGGCCGTCGATTCCACAGACCGAGGTTCTCGGCCCACTTCTGCACCAGCCATTGCTCAGAGACAGGACGCAGAAGGCAGTGTGCCAGGCGCGCCTGCCAAGAAAACAGTGGCTTCTAAAGACCAGGAGGAAACAGTGAAGGTTGAAGTGGAAAAGGAAGAAGTACCTCCCGAACAAGCTGAGCCAGAGGCCACAGAAATATGGCAGGTATGTCCCAAGTCCCAGGATCTGGCAAGTTCGCTTTCTGCTTTACAGGTGGTAACCCCTTGACCAGGAAGGTTTTCAAAGCACTGATTCCTACAGGATCCTAGTGAAGTTATTCCTTCCTCACTCTTTCTGGAAGAAGGTATCTCCCATGAACCTTTAAAATGCATTCATAGAATTATGTCATGAAGACTGTAAGCTGTCTCAGAGAAGTTTTCACGTGACCCAAACTTTACCAAACTCTTACATTAAAAAAACGAAGTCTACAAAATGTGGCAGCACTGTGATGTATGCCCTTAAAAGTTGTTTTACTCACCCAGAAGGAATCTCCACATTCCTTTTTAAGAGTAGGCTGTGCTGTAGTTTGATTCCCCTGAGTTGGACATGTGTGCAGCATAGCCGGAGAGTACCCAGGTGTTACGCACCTTAAGGTTTGGAACCTTAAGTAGCTTTAAAAATGGGGGAAGTTCTGTTATGTAGGAGAGGCTGTGCTACTGACATGCTTACAGTTCTGACTTGATTGTACCCTCAGTCACTGAACCTTGTTGAAAAGTTACCAATTGAATTAGATTTCCCAGGAGTAACAGTAACTGGACTGGTCTTTTATGTGTTGGTAAGCTTTTTAAGCACATTTAAGCAGTGATGGAGTTGAGGCACTAGTTCAGATTTAGTGAAGCATAGCAAATACGAGTCTCACTGTTGACAACAGGACTATAGACACAGTCTTTAGAGGAAAAATGGCGTTTTTATATCTGTTAAGAAATTTAAAACCATGTAAGATCTTAGTAAGTGCTCTCACCTTGGCCGATGGATTAACCCTGTTCTTTTGGAGTTGGTTCACTACTTAGTTTATCTGTAGAGCGGAGGCTGATCTGGCTCTGCTTTGACTGTTAAAAAACTGTTCATTCTATGTACAACCTGTGGCCATGAACTATCGGAGAGAGGGGGACACTGGCGGGCGGGGTACAGGGTGGAGCAGGGATAAAGGGGAGAAAAAAATTGGGAAAACTGGTAGCATAATCAGTAGAATATCCTTTAAAAAAACTGTTCAATATGACATGCAGTTTGATTGTCCTTTGAGACCAACTTGAGTCCAGAGAGGAGGAAAAATGACTGAAGGGTGGGTGCTTGCATTTCTGTACCCAGCCAAGTGCGCATGACAGGAGCCATCAGGGTCAGTGTCAACTGCAGTCTTTAATGCTAGGGTCTCTCACCTGGCACTTCCAACTGTCACACTAACTGGAAAGTGTTAGATTACTGGAGTGAGCAAGGGACTCTTTGAGTAGCTAAGGTTCCTTTGGCTTTCAGCTAACATGTTCTTTTGCCTATAGGCAGACACAAGTATCTTCAAGAAAGGTTCTCTATGCTCTTGGGACCTTGGCAGAGTGGAGAGATCACTTTCTGGTATATACTCCCCATTTAAGTGCTTGCTCCCCACTTAATTCTATATTATATTGTTTCGAGATACTTGTGTAGAGATCAGACTGGAAGCCACCTCTGATAACCTTCTGTTACCATAATAGTAGTAACAGAATTAAGAGTGACTCTGAGTTGATTTTATTTGTAGCAGTTAAGAAAATAATTATGGAATTTACCTGAAGCAATATTTATTGCATGGAGCAATAATAATAATATTACTATTAAAGTGTAACTGTGTACATTTCATTATCTAACACTAAGTTGATGCCAGTTAGAGCTTTTTGGCATCTTGAGTCATTTGGCAAGACCTACTTTGCAGGTGTGTACCTACCGCTTTATCCCATTCGGTGTTCTCTGGGGCTGCATACAGAGGCACGTACTGTTGCTACTGGGCCTCCATTCTTGCACTGAAATAGAGATTCCCAATTTCTTGCTATTGGATTGCTAAGCACCCAAAGCAAAAAAGTCATTATTCATTTATACAAGCAAGTTAAGCTTTACAAAATAATTATAAACCACTATTTGCTAAGTGTCCACAACTCTGCGAAGATATTATTTCTACTTTATCAATAAAAAACTTGAACTCAGAGGTGAAGTAACTTGCTAATGGCCACACAGCCAGGATCCTGGGATTCCGAGTAGAACTGACCACATTGCTCATTAACTACCTCTGGTAGGTAGCAGTGCTACTGCTGGACGTGCTGCTGGTTTGACGGTGTCACAGGGTTTGGTGTTATTTTGTGTTCTTCAAGTTCAGTCCTAGAGAAGATAGCCCAGTGCCATTGTACGTCAAAGTAATGCTGCCAAGCGTGATTAAAAAGCGTATGTCAAAATGACTGAGTGATGTGATTCTGTAAGTAACTTAATGATGCAAAGTGATTGAGTTGACCCTTGATAAAAAACAGTTTCTTCTTTTTGAGATATCCAGTGTATTAGGCATGGCTCACTTTATTATGCTTCCTATTAATAGTCTGTGTAGGTTTTTTAAATTTATATTTACTCCATTTGGGGTATATAAAATGACTATTACAAAGATATTTCAAAGTTAGGCAGGAGGCTTTAGTGTGAAGGATGGATCTTACCCATTCACCAAATGCATGGGTTCCAGCTCCCTAGACAGGAGATTGCGGTGTGTTGAGAATCGCAGCTGAGCCCTGTGTGCTCGTGTATAAACTGACCTTGGTGACGATTGCCTGCATCAGTAACAATTTGGATTAAGTTTATTTTGGTGTTTTGTTGTCTAATAAACTGGAGGATGAAACTGCCTCCTTAAATATACTGATCACTTAACAACATGTTTTGTATTTACCTGCTTGGTGTTGTATGTGGTTTATTTATACGTGTGTTTTAACTGCAGAGACTTTCTTTTTGTTTCTATCGTGTATGTCATACATTAATATCTTCATTTGTGGACTTGTTTTTAAATGTTACTTAAGGCACTTTCAGATCATTAAAAAGCAACACAAAAACACATAGATTATTTAAGCCTAATTATTATCTTTAATAAGTACTTTTTTGTAAATAAGTATGTAATATTTGCTTCATCAGTAGAATAATTACTTTAATTTTCTCTTTTGCTTGTTTGGCTGTCCACAGTATCTCTTCAGCCTTGAAAATGTGCTGGTGAACTAACAGATTACCCTTGAGGGTAATGACACTCCCATGACACCCCCTAAAGGCTGCCTCACGGTGGTTACCTATCAGCTTATTTCACAACCAGCTTAAAGATGCGGCTTATTTGGAAACAGTGCTATTCATAAAAACCTACTAACCTAAAATGTTTCTACCACTTTATTTCTTAAATGTAGGTGGAAAAAACCCACATCGAGGTCACAGTACCCACCTCAAATGGTGACCAAATGCAGGTTTGTGCCAGTAGGCCACTCGTTCCTCTCCCCGCCCTCCTCCATGTCTCCCTTCCCCCCTCCTTAAAAAAAATATGAAATGGAGGTTCAGACAAACTTCAGTGAGCCAATATTTTATCATTTTTCTTTCTTTCTTTTTTTAATAATGGCAAAACAGAAGCTTGCAGGAAAAACTGAAGATCTGATAAGAATGAGGAAGGTTAGCCATTTTTCACTTCACAAAACTGCATTAGCATCACCCGTGCTGACGTTTACAGTGCATTAAAAAGACAGTGACCTGTTCTTCTCATCGATTTCTCTGAATCAGAAATTGCTTTTGGATATCAGATAGATGTATGTGTATATGTGCATATATGCACATGCATATGTGTACAAAAAATTATAATCCTTTACTATATGTTGAAAATTTTCCCAGTAGCAAAATATCTTTCGAAACATGAAAGAATTGGTAAAGGCTGAACCTATCCTTTATTAAACTTTATAAGAAATATTCCACAAGGCACCATGTTCTTGAAATTGTTGGCAATATTTTGTACATATTTATTATGAAACCATCATAGCATCTGCCAGTGTTGTTAGTAACTCTGTGCCTGGCTGCTCCGTGCCTCTTGCTTCTCAGCTATAGAGTGGGGTGAATCAGTTTCTACCGAATAGAATATTGAATGATCATATGTAAAACGCCCATAGATCTCTTTTACAGAAAGTGTTAGAGATGTACATACTGCAGTATTACTCAGTATGAAAGTTGTCAAAAAACGAATGTCTTAAAGCATTCCTCTACTCTGTAGAACATGGAGTTTTATTTTTTTAAATATTAAATTTTATTTAGTTACTTTTCAAGTACATTTTTTAATTTATGAACATGGAGTTTTAAACCTTCTTAAAATCGTGTATTTTAAGAAAACCCCTCAACAGCTCAATTTCAGAAATGAACAGAAAACAGCTTGTTATGTAAGAAGCCAATGAAGCCAGGAGCACTGTCTATTTAAATAGCATCATCACATCCTCCCATCATTCACGAACAAGGCCACCCCTTTTCCAGTGGTAATTGTGTTCTCTGTGTGTCTTTGTGGTTCTGTGACCATTTCATGTTGGCATATGCTGCGCTGTGGACATTTAATTTTAAATGACTTTTGGTTTGCCAATTTGCAATTTTCTCCCGCAAGAACGACATTTTAATTTTTTATGCTTTTCTGTTTTTCCCCTCTTTCATTTTCACAGAAAAAGAGAGAGAGACTAGATGGTGAAAACATTTATATCAGACATAGCAATTTAATGTTGGAGGTTTGTATGAACTTGAAGCTTATTTCAGTTGGTTGCCTGTGACCTTCTGCATTCTCTGCTGATGCCCCTTTCTTCTTTCTGTGCCGCGTTTGGTTTTGCATGCCATTGCATGAGAGAATTTTAGGTTTAAAGTGCTTTTGCATGTTGGTGAATGTGAAGATCCATAACCATCTCACCTGATTTCTCTCTGGCTTCCATCTTTCATATTTACCTAAAAAAATATATGATTGGGACTACCTTTGCCTCTTGTGGTTCCATTAGAAAATTCTTCAAATTTTCCAAGAGTATAAACTACTATATGTCCCAAGCATCAGATTGGTTATCTTCTGACCTGGACAAGTAAGATAAATGATCATAATTCAAAATGGGTTTAAAATATTGGGGATACCAGAAAATGACAGAAAGATAGTCGGAGGGGGAAGTGAGAGACAGGAAGAAAAGGAGGGAGCCTAGTATGAAATGAGTAGTTACTATGACAGAAGACAGTTTAATCCTGGAAACAGGTGTGTGGGTATGAGACTGTTATTTTAGAGATGAGAAAATTGAGGTTTAGAGAAATTAGTTAATTTCCCTGAGGTCACAGAGCTGGTAAATTGGTAAAGCCAAGATTTCAGATAGGGCCTGTCTAACTCTGTTAAACTACACTCCCCCCCCCCCCCCCCCCCCCCCCCCTCTGCCATTCAGAAATAGCAACATGCTGTCTGCTGTAGCAATTATAAGGTCATTTTCCTGCTACACTCAACATCGGTGAGGTTTTTACTAGAGTTATGTTGCATACTTTATCTAGTTTTGGGCTCTCCACATTGGATAAAGAAATACACATGTAAAACTCATTAGAAGATTGAGGGAACTCCATGAGGAAAAATGAAGGAAACTGGAATTATTCTTTGTGTAAAAAACTGAGTCCATGTTAGTTTACACGTTGAAAAACTCTTATATAGAAGTTGATGACCAGATTATTTTGCAATTCCGCTCAAGACAGAGCCAAGAGAAATGAACAGACTCTGATATCAGGGGTTTAACTTAGATATAAAGGAAATATAAACATACAGGAAGATGATGAACATGGTTCCTGCCTTCAGGAGGCTTACAGCGTGGGGGAGTGGGCAGGAGAAAAACAGTAAACAAATAGCAATAAAATGATTACAACTTGTTATAAAAACAATGAAGCAAATAAACCATATGCTGTGCTAAATGAAGGGATCTACTCAGAATAAAAAGGGCAGGAGATTCTCTCTGAAGAGACATTTTCACTGAGACCTGAAAGATGAACATGTATTAAATGTGGTCAATATTATTAATATAGAAGTTTGAAAAAACTTCCTGAGATAGATATCTGATTTAGTGTAATGGTCTCTACTAATTACTTAAACTCATCTTACTCTTTGTCAAACATATATTTTGAGTGCCTGCTAGGTTTAAGGTACTTGGATGAAAGTAACACAAATTATAGCCAGCCTTCATTGGTCGTGTCCTGTGTGGCGGGCACAATGCCAAGTGCTGTACATACATCGACCTCATGTAACATGAGGTCAAGGCTGGACCCTAGGACATTTCAAACATGGAGACTAGATCTCTTTGCTTTGGCCCAGAACTGAAACCATACCTGGATGCTTCCTCTTGTGGGATTAGGAAGAAAGACAGAGGTCAGCTGATCTCCTTGAACTCAGCAAAACAACATCTCCCAATTTTAAACATGTCTATGTCTTGGCTAGTGCTTCCTCTCACCTGGAACCTGCAGTACCAATCATATATTTGTCATTCGTTCCACGAGGTGTGGTATGGCTTCTGAGACTCATGAAGTCCCTGTGTGTGATGTGTTTTTCCCCAGCATTTCATTGACGGCAGTGAGAGGGGATTTCTAATAAGTGTGTGTTTGAAAATTAAAACTACTAACTACCTTTTGAGAATATTTTATATTAAATGGTTTGGTTTGATTGCTGCTTAAATTATAATATGATAGGCATCAAAAAGTGTCTAACCTGAACATGGCTAAAGTTTGGCTAACCATCATTCTCTAGTTATTGTAAAAGTTTGGGTTTTTTTTTTTCGTTCCTCCTAAGGAAGTTCTCTCAACCTATCTGTCACTCTAGCAGTTTTTTTTTAAGCATTCCTCTCCTTACTCCTCCCCCACTCCCACTAATGCTTTGTTCTGGCACAAATAAGGTCGAGTTCATTTTTAGATGTACCGCCTCCTCCTCCATCTCCCAGAGGGAACTTGTAGCAAGAGTCTATGACAAATTCTATTTGGAACAGGTCCCTTTGAGATCTTAATTTTACTCTGTGCCCCCACAGGTTTCCAACAGAGCCAGCTAAGAAGGATGGAGAAAGCTCCCTCAGAAGCTACTGATGTTACTGAAACCTTTATTTCCTCAGGTTCCAGCCAGTGAAAAGCTAGGCAAGAAGAGTCACAAATCTCTCATGTTAAAAGGCTAACTAACCTAGAGAGTTATGGTCTTACCATAGCATCTCTTGCTCATTTTTGTTTTGCTCCATTCATACTTTTAACTCTCCCAAAAATGTTAAGTTGTTTTTGGCCCAAGCCGATTTAATTTCCAGTCAGGAGCTGGGTCACAGGGCCCTTACATGCCTGGTGGTTCTCAGTTGCTCAGCCTCCTACTGAGTGAGTCCTTGACTACGCTTGTTCATGACTTTTCTTTAGCCAGTAAATAGGCTTTCCTTGCTTTCAGCTCGAACTAAAGGGCAAACTGTTGTTTCCTTATGGGGAAGCCTGTGTTCATGAGCTGTGCTCACACTGCATCCCAGAGAGCTGCAGGATTGCCCTGGTGCGTTAGTTTTCTCTGAATGATCGCAAAGCAAATACACATTGTTCGTTCTTGCAAGAATAAAAAGGATAGACTATTAAACGAATTTTCTGAATGAATATCTCCAGAATCAAAATTGTGTCCTGTGTCCCAACTGATTTTCTTTTCCTGTGCTATTTTTCCCTTTGACATTGCTTTTGAAAAAAAATATCTAACTTACTCAAAGCCTAAATGGCTCCAGAAAAAGAAACTTTTTAATGAAATGGGCATCAATTTTTTTTCCTCAAAATGAGGCTGTTTCCCACGGAGTCTAAAAGAATAAAAAAGACTAATCCCCAAATTCACACAGCATATTAGGAGATATATTTAGTATTATGCTTTTCTTGGACACAGAGCTGCCTTGATATATAATAAACACAGAATTTTTAGCAGTTGTCAAGTGCCGGCCTCCCACATATTTTGGTCTCAAGCGTAGATCTTTTGGGTTTTTTCAGAGAAGTATTTTGGACAAAGAACATTTGTGTTTTTGTCTTCAAGTTGTATTTCTCAGATTATTTCTGGCTATCTCCCTTTTGAAAGTTGTTATATACTTCCTATTACATAAACCTAGATATTTCTCATTGTGTCTAGCTTTATTAACCTTAGTCTTGATCATGTCTCCCTAGAATATGCTCTTGAAGAGCTTACCCCTAGTTGTCCAGTATGCAAATCTGCTGGAACAGTTGAGGTATTTTATTTATTCTTTTATTTTTTAATTCTCGCCAGAGGATATGTTTTTATTATTGACTTTTAGAGCAAGAGAGAAATATCTATTTGGGAGAGAAACATTAACTGGTTGCTTCCTCTATATGCCCCAACTGGGGACTGAATCCACAACCGAGGTATGTGCCCTGACCAGGGATCAAACTTGCAACCTTCTGGTACGTGGGATGGCACTCCAACCAACTTAGCTCCCTGGCCAGGGCCAGTTGAGCTATTTTAAATCATAAGGAGATACATAAGCTATTTGAAGAATTCTTGTTAGATCACTTCCCATTCATTGAAGGTTAGTAGAAGAAGGTCCCTATTTTGAATGGTACTGAAAAATGAAGTGAAGCTGTCAGAAGCTAGAAAGCATAAGCCTTTTCATTTGTGTGAGTAGTATTGGCAAAGGAAAAGAGCCATTATATTACATATCCCTGAGTAATTAGTCAGAGATAGTCACAACCTGCTCTGAAGGCCTGAGTCATGAATTTCAACTTTTTTTGTTGTAATCTTGGAATCAATTACTTTCTCCCAGAGGAATATCTTTTTTAAAAACAATTGAAGTTGACATACAATATTATATTAGTTTCAGGTGTACAACATAGCGATTCAGATTTTATGTACCAGTAATAAATTCTTATATCAAGAAAAGGCTCTTCCTGTTTACCAAAAACCAACAACAGCCACCTAATACAGGGAAGCAAAACCATCTCTAGGTAGAAATAGAGGGGTACCACCCGGTTGCAATTTACCCCAGTGCAGGACAGTCAGTGATGAAAGCTGAATCTTTCACCCAGTCCCTTATTTAATAGTTTCTCCTTGTCTTTTGCTCTCTCCATCCTGCCTGAGCTGAGCCTAAATCAGTTCATATCAATCTGAGGCTAATTGAGTTGTGGAATTACCTTCCTGGGATGAGGAGTTGGAGAGCCAGCACTGAGTCATAATGGGAAGAAGAGTTGTAAAACTGAGTGAGCTCCTTATGGGTTATATAACTGCTAAGAGCTGTGGGGTTATGATGCTTCATTGCTTCCAAGAAAAGCACCTTGTTTAAAAAAAAAAGCAAGCAAATATACCATGTTGTATATTTACAATTTGAATGCAGTTTTTGGATTCGTAATATCTCTCCTGGATGTGGTGTGTTTTCTACCGATGCCCCTAGTCTGTGATGGGCTTCCCTTGGTGTGTTTTTATTCCTTTGAGTATTTATTGTTTTGCATCTTTGTCCTTTCAACTGTAGGATTTAGACAAAAGTCAAGAAGAGATCAAAAAACATCACGCCAGCATCAGTGAGCTGAAAAAGAACTTTATGGAATCTGTCCCAGAACCACGGCCTAGTGAATGGGATAAACGCTTATCCACTCACTCCCCGTTCCGATCACTTAACATCAACGGCCAAGTCCCCACAGGAGAAGGAGTGAGTACTTTGTCCGCATGACCAGTTGGGAGAGTGAGTGAAATAAGTGTTTTTGTATATTAATGTTCTGTATCTGAGAGAAAGTTTAGAGCTAAAGTGTATTTTTGGTGCCTCCATCAAATTCATGGCAGCTTTCAGGCGTTCATCAACCACTGGTTTGCTGAGTCAGGTGGACAACCCAGTCTGGTTATGGGAGCCACTCACGGCTCCTGGTGGACAAATCGGCCTGAGAACTCGCTCTGCAGCTGCAGGCTAGTGTGTGCGTTTGCAAACTGGCCGTGAGCCAATGGAACTTTATGTTCAAACTGTGCCTTCAAGGACTAGAGAGTGTACTAAATTTAGTAAGGTCAAAATTGAAAAGGAATACGCATTCTTAAAAAAACTTTATTTGAACATTTGCACAACTTCGAAATGTCTGGAATGGTTAACCACAATTATATAATAAACCCAGGAGGCCCCTAAGCCAGAGAATGTAGAATACCAAGTAATAGTTGTGTTTCATTTTTAAAAAAACTATTGATTTTTTATTTTATCTTTATGAGTAACATCAAACTTTTAATTCACTGTTTTGTACCGTAGTCACAATTAGAGGAAGCCAGCAATATCTTTCAGGGGCTGTTCTTTTCTATTGTTGTTCTTATTACCTATTGTAGAAATTCTACATCTAAAGAAATAAATATATGTAGTGAAAAAGTTACCTTGAGCATATATTCAAAAAGTCTTTACTTAATCTTTAGCCTGGCAGGCTAAAGATTTATATAAATAGTCACAATGACTCAATGAGTGATTGTAATGATTTTTAAATTATATGCTTGTTTTTATCCTAAAGTATTAACAATTCTAGTTAAGAAAGGTAAAGTAATGTCTTAATAATTTCAAAAGACTTGTTTTTATATTTAGAATTTATGATAAACTACTCAACTTATTTAGTTTCTGGAACTGGAGAGGATAATAAAAGTTGGTCAGCCAAGCGTATTTTTTATATTTCTCAAAATGTGGTTAAACTTGGCTAATGACTCTCTAAATAGAATGAATGGAGCCAGTTTCACTGAGTAAGGGTGGAGGATTCCTGAATGATGGGCCACTAAATAGAGTTACCAGAGATGATGGGATGCAGTGGTTCTATTCACTGTCCTCTTGGTCTCCGTGCCCTGATGCACATGGACATTAGTTTTGTATTCTAAATCTAACTAGTGTCCCCTGAACTGACTATTTTTCTCACAGAGAAGATGCCTTGTTGCTCTCTCACCTGGTAACTGCATATTTTCTAGAAGTTTTCTTTTGGACTCTGTACAAATAATAAAACATGCTCAACTGCTTTGAAAAAGTAACAGTACTTTCTTGGATGAAGTTTGGTAAAGTTGAATCAGTTTCCAGTTCCAGAAAATGTCTTATATCTTAATAGGAAAGCCTTCAGAAACCATCTCAGGACTGCTCTGGGGAATGGCTGTGTCGTCCTGTGGGCTTTTAAAGAAACGACTCTTGATAAATGAAATTAGATCGGTGGGGATAGTCAAGCCACTTTCGCTCTGTATTTGTGTATAATACCCTCTAAACGAACAGTGGAATAAGTGAGAACTATACTGTCACAACCTTTTACATAGGATAATTCCACTTTCTGGCATATCTTACTTTTTAAAAATAATTAGGACAGTGTTTATGTTCTCTGGGAACACCTCTTCCACTTTTGACAGCATTTGTGTTGCATTGCAAGCAGCTGAATTGTGTGCAATTTGTGTATGACCAGGTGCAGAAAACCTCTGTCCTTCCCTCGGAAAGAAAGGTTGGTGGGCCAGAGGTAAAGCTGCTGTTATGACTTGTGCTTCTCAATCACACTTTGCTCTTGTCATGGCACTAAGCAGATAATCCCCCCCCAGAATCGAACAGCAGCTGCTGAATAATTTTTTTCTTTGGCTACACTAGTAGATTCTCACATCCCACCTTTTGACCTGACACATGACATTTCCACTGCTGCAGCTTTTGCAGCTTTCAATTTGCTTATTTTGGCGCATGGCTGGTTGAAAAGCTGCATGAAGATATAAATATGGATTCAGGGAAAAAATGAATTTAATTGTACCCTATTCTTTTTATGTTGTCTTTCTTCTCCCCTTTATTTTCTTTTAAAAATCATTATTATAATTTTGCATCCTTTCTTTTCCTTTGATTCTTCTTTGCTGACCAGTCCCCCAGCTACTTTCTCCCTGATACGTATCACTTAGGGGTGTGCAAAGAACCAGTGTCAGACTTCCAAACTGACCCGAGAAGGTTGGCTCAGCTGAGAGAGCTGAGAGCCAAGTTTTTCCTTTCATAGATAACGTTTGTCTTGACTGGATAGCAGAGAACAGAACTTTGGGGGTCGGGGGGGCTTACAATTGGACAATTATTAAAAAAATAATTTTTCTTAAAAGTGTCACAAGTATTTGCTTAATGTGATGTATAAGCCTTCACAATGGTCATTATTATTTTTAATCATAATTCTGAGGGAGAGGGGAAGGGAGTTTGCCATTGTTAAGATTTGTGGGTTTCTTTGTTTTTTAGTAGACCTTCAAGACACATATGAACTTTTATACTTTTTTTCTTTGCAGTCTTTAAAATGTATAGGATTCAGATTTTTATTCCCTTGAGCTAAAGCTAATTGCCATATCAAATGAAGTGTTACAGTTTTTAAAATCTATGTGAGACATATGAGGATAACTTTTTATATTCTACCATTCTATTTGTAATAAAGGTAACTTTTGTGATGGCAAGAAGCATGCTTCATTATTGCCTTTGCCCAATTGACCTGGGAAAAACTGGGAGCAACAAAGCAATGAACCAACCCCAAATTCCTATGTGAATGTCCTCAAGGGTGAATAAGTACTGTAAGGAAGTCCATGTCTCCTTGAACTTTCGGGACTTCCAGTGTCCATTCATTTAAAAAAAAAACATGTATGGAGTACTGTTGTTATAAAAACTTTGCTGGGGTAAATTGCCAAAGTAAAGTAAGTAAAATAGAATGTCCGAAAGACCTTCCCAAATCCTTTGCACATCCCCAAGTATCATTTTTAAGCATTTTTCATCTGTCATTTTGTTCATCTTTCTCTGTCTTTCTCAATCTTCTACCGTGAAAGCAGGCACAGGAACGTGCTCTGTTAGTGCAGAATGAAGAGAAGGTTAAAAGGCAAGAGAGATCCACTGAAAGAGCTTTGCCCCAGCAAGAGAATGAAGACATTCTTCCCAAGGTTTCTATTCCAATCCCCGAGGATCACAAGTCTTTCAAAAAGTGCCACCTCTACTCTCGTACTTTTCCATCTCCTCGTTTTCCTTACATGATGTCTTTTCTCGTGGTTCTGGCGTTGGCTGTTTGGTGGTTGGTCTTTCTGTGACCGGAAAACAGGGTGCTCGTCCGAAATGTCAAGACTAAAACCGTCAGACCTGTCATTGACTCCTCCCGTGTTATCCCCTGTATGATGCTCTCTGATCCTAATAGTTCACTGTCCTAGAAAAGCTCTTGTGACCATTTTTCCGTCAATAAATGTTACTCTTTGTAGAATATGTATTATGGGGCACAAAGGAGTAGGAATAGATTGCCCAAGCCAGATTTCCTTATAGAAGTTTAACAAGTGTAGAAAAATCAGATTTAAGCTTGTGGCAGGTTGGTACTTTCCCAGCAGCTTTTACCTTTTCATTCTGCGTGTTTCTATTTAGTGTGGCTACGTCCTTCCCTCCAGTGTTTCACACAAAGCCGGGTACTCTGTAGACACATCAGATGGAACATTTCCCTAATCTTCCGTAGTCGTTTGTGTGGCATGGGCTTTGTAATTTAAGAAAAAATTTCAACTTGCTAACCTTTCAAAAGCCTTAAAAAGACACGTTTTAATCTATGAATCCAAAACCACTCCTTTTCTTGCGATATCAAACCAGTATATACAAAGGCCTTTTTTGGGAAAGGGCTTTTGTCTTCTGTGGCCTTCTTTATGTGTATTTCTGAGACGTTCAGGGACAAACAACTTTATCCTGCCTGGTGTAGAAAAGAGAGCTGCAAAGGTTAAATGCCATCTTTTCACAAGTAACATGTTGGTGGTTTAAGGAAAATGGTGCTGGTGTCCCTGACTTAGCCTCCAGCCAGGGCTGAATTTCCCAGACTACTCTGCCCATCTTTAAAAGTCCTGGAATACAGATTTATTCAAGATCTGTGCATAAGCATACCTTCTTCTGAATTAAAATACTGTGTTACTTCTTTATGACTTAAGTAATTATATTGCTAGAAGCAATATTTAGCCATATGGTAAGCTTAAAAAATATATTAATATATTTTCTTTTCTTGATACATTTCAGACATGTTTGTTCTTATACTTGTGTTGAAATCAATTGTTTTTAATTGGTGGCCATGTGAGCTCTGGAGTTCTATGTGACAAGTGTGTGTCCTCTGTTTGCATGTTGATTTTCCAGACTTTCCTGAAGTAAAGATGAGCGTGCCCTCTATAACACAACTCGGATGTCTAACCTGTTGTTTTACCTCTGCATTAATGAAGTCTTGCATGTAGCTTGCTTTTTATGGCACTCGAATGTACCAATATGGATGATTTGGTTAATGTTGTCTCAAATATTTGTTTTGGAATCTGAGTCCATAGGGCTATCAAACTGAGATTATTGCACTTTGTTTTACCTCTTAATGCTTTTCAGTTGATGAAACTGCTACACAAGACTTTTTGTTTCGAAGGTGATGGCTTCTTAGAGAAAAAAATGAACAGTAAAGCCAAGAATCTTTTGTCCTTCATTCACCGCTATTGTTTTATGTCTCTGTGGACAGGCAGAAATAATTCTCTGGTACTCCGGAAAAGTGCTACTCTGTGATTATAAGCTTTCCAAAAAAAAAGGGGGGGAAAAGGAAGCAGATTGGGTTAAATGTAAAAATCTGGCGTGAGTGTGTATCTTTCACGTCACAGACTATATCTGTTTACAACAAATGTTTATAATTAAGAATATTTATTGATTTACTCATTATAAAAGATCTCAAGTCAACCTGAAATATTGTGAAGTTATTCTCTAACCCAGAAAGGGATCATTATAAGTACTCTCCTTTATCCGTGAAATAGAGATATAAGAGCTTTCTTTGTGAAATAAACAAAACCGTAGCATTGGTTTAAATTCTTTTTTCAAGAAACTAAAAAGGAAGTAATCTTAAAATTTTATTGGTACTTCTATGACTGTTTCAGATTATATTTCCAGTTTTCATTCCTATACACAGTATTTTATTAATTATTATTGTAAACTTCACCTTGAATTTTGTTTCCCTTTGTATTGGAGTTACTCCAAGTTCACTAAGTCTAGTGGAAACCAACAGTCCTTTTCAGTTTTCTGAAGTGCAGCAGGAGTTCTCACAGACCCTTACAGATATTTGAGGAGAAGGCCAGTGTGGGCTCAAAAGCTGTACCCAACACAATTATCAGAGGAAAAATATTGGACATTACAGCTTGTGTTACCTAAAGTTAATGCTGTCTATGTTGCTCACATAAAACTGTAAATAGCTTTCGTTACCTTCTCATATCTCCTTCCATTGTTAATACCAGAGACAGATCCTAATAACTGTGTCTTAGGGGTATCCAACCCATGGCCCATGGGCCACATGCGGCCCAGGACGGCTCTGAATCTGGCCCAACACAAAACCGTAAATTTACTTAAAACCTTTTTTTTTTTTGCTCATTAGTTTTTGTTAGTGTTTGTGTATTTAATGTGTGGCCAAGACAACTTTTCTTTTTCCAGCGTCACCAAAAGAGACACCAAAAGATAGGACACCCTTGGTTGGTGCCACCCTGGTGCAGTTTCTTAATGGCAGGTTGATAATTAAAAAATAATTTGGACTAAAGTTATTAATACAGGCCAGTATAAAGCCTTGCTTTTGCCTTGCCATTGCTATTAATTACTTCTAGGGCGACTGATAAGTTCACGGAGACCTGCCTGACGCCCAGATTTCCACCTAGTAACACAGAAACAAACCTGCCTCGTGAGAAAGAATGTGTAACATGTTCCAGGCACCAGAAGCTCTGGTTATTGTTCAATTCTTGATCTTTTAGGGGCCAGGAAGACGGAAACTAAAAAACAAACACACGTCAACTTCTTGAAATTTTTTACGTGAAAGGAAGCAATTAAATAGCTGTATTTATTTCCATCTACTCCTTATTGGTATTTGAACAAGCACTTAAAACTACTAAAGTTAAAAGTCTTTCCAAATTCTTTACACTCTTAAACAGTTCATCTCATCCATATAGTATATTTAGAGTGGGCCGCACTTGTGAATAGAGCCAGCGTCAGTGTTTCGGGCCCATCTTTCAGCCATTCTCTTATTCTAGTACTCGGAGTACGAAGGAGGTCCAGTTTGCACGGGCCAGTTTTACACTTGTTTATGTCAGTAAATGTTTTCAAGGGAGAAGATGTTGACTTCGTTAACTAACATTAGACTGGGGTTATCTGTGGAGTAGATCTCCAGATCATCCTAGATCCTAGGACCCAGTGCACTTCTTCCTATTAAATACTGCTTTAAATTTTAGTCTGAAATTTCTGTGGATATTAGCCAATTCACTTTCTCCTCCATCACTAAGTCACTTCTGGAATACTTCCTACAGATAAGCACATAGGACATACTAGGCATTAGAGGTTTGGTTTTTTTTTTTAGAAGGCATTACCAATCAAAATTTATATCTAGGCTTTACCCAGTGATCACGTATTTTCAAAAGGAAGGCCTAAAATTAAAAAAAATCATATGCGATGCTTTTGTACTGTTGCTTATTTTGCCAAGGGTATTGAGTATAAAATTGC